TATCCTTGGTTCAAAGCTTATTTCACGCATTTTTGGGATCAGCAGCCTATTATATTATGAGCCACGTTAACCCAACAAGATTATCGTCGATAATTGACGCAATTTAGTTAAGACCAATAACAAAAACCGTTGCTATACCAAAAGAAACACATGAATGTTTTTATTACAAAACAAAGTTCAGTATCATTTTGCCATACCAGTGAAAACTACCCTGCAAAGGTCTCTATACCAACTTTTACTCCATCCGTGTATTCATCTGAAAACGCCTCTTTCAAGGATCACCTATTCGTTGTGAGCACATGGTTTATCTGGACAGCGCGGAGTCTTCATTCTAGCGAAGAAGCTTAGTGATGGAATGGATTCTTGGATAGCATCCAAGACATGGAATTCATATACTGCTAGAAAGATGAAGAAGAAAACTAATTCAAGATCCTATTATAAATTATCGGGCCCGCCCGTGATCACGGTTGCTGCAAAGTAGCCGAAACGTCGGGACTCGGGAGTATGGATTTTATAATCAAAAATAAAGTCCCGTAGTATAATCCGAAAAATATTAGTTTCATTTACCTAAATGAATAAAACTTTCGAAAATCTTAGATATGCCAAAATTATTTAAATGGCTATAAGATCAAATTTCCCAATAAATTAGATCCCCTTGCATTTTGATTTACTTTTCCGTCAACGTAATTTGAGCCTTGTGCTATTATTATGGAAAAAAACTAATGACTTAATAAAATTGAGAAAAACATAGATATTATGGATTGATATATCAAAAAAATATATATGTATTTTAATAAAGAACAGTTGTCATTATATTGTATTCCATATAAAAAATAATATTCTTCTTACAAATTAATTAAATTTAAAAAACGCAATGAAATTACATATATCATTTATTCACGTATTTATTTACCTATGTTTGACAATTCATTCGCGATTTCTAGTTATTCTTTCAATTAGACACATTAGTACCTAAAAGCTATAGAACAGAAATGATTATAGTTACTCCTTATAAAACTATCCTATACCTATCTGTCAGTGTAATTCTCGTCAAAATCGGTTCAGCCGTTTCAAAGATTAGACGAAACAAACAATAGACTAAATTTTCAATATAACCTACATGCATATAATGAAAAGATTACTAATATTAAATTTCAGTATAATACATAATATATATATAAAACAAGTTAACCCCCATCTTAACACAATGTAATGTACACACTTAATCAAGGATACAACAGTTCATTTACGAAAATGTTACCTCGACTGGCTTAAGTGTTGCGCCCTGTTAAATTAATGAGCCAATCTACAGAGCTCGAGTTACCTTCGTATTTTACAAGGTGGTGATATCATCCCGGGCTTAATAAGCATTAATACTACCCGTATAAATTCAGTAGTATTAAATTAATATTTTTATATATATATAAGATAAAGTTTTTGGTTGTGGAACAGTTGTGAGTTACTAACAAGCTCAGGTTGTTTGTATCTAGAGTAGCAATTAGTTCACTCTGAATAATGGACCCCCGGTTCTTGATTAAGACGCCCCGAAGATAACGGATGTACCGCAGACTTATTACGTGTTTGATAACATTGATATAATAAAATAATGCAATAAATATATACACTTTATTTATTTATACGGAAATTTGGTCAATAATTAAGTACCTATTTTTTTTACATAATTCGAATGAGAATCATGTACCGAGTATGCTCCTTAAATATTGATAGTAATTCACCAGTCACCCTGTATAATACAGGAAGAAATTATTACGTTTTGAATACTTTTTCTGAGTACAATGTTATTTAAAATGAGAAACACAACCTGATTATAATAATATTTTCTATTTTACCAGTAATTCTATCTGTAACGCGTGAATATATGTATAAACAATAAAAACATAGTAAACTTTATCAATCGTTATGAATCTTTATATGAACACGTAACAGAGACCGTGAAGTGCTTTTAGGGTTCGTACAAGGTTGATAAGTAGTATGGCCAGCTCTTATTTGTTTTGTTAAACATCTCTTTGTTCCGGAGGCAGCCCTATTAATATGGGCATCGGATAGATTAGCTAATTTTGGACCTTTTGTTATACTAAATTTCGGTTGATATCTCAAGATTTACTCTCGTAATGACGACATTACTTCAAATTAAACGGCGAGTGTTTCAAAATAAGGACAAATTATCTTGTTAAAAAGTATCTAAACCAAGAAAATATAAGCAATTTCTATGCTTTATTCTTTTATTATAATTAAATCTCCGTCAGATAATTGGAATATTCTAGAAGATATCCACTACAAAGGTATAGTGAGACGAAAAACGACGCTTACATAAAAACCAGTGCAAACACTAAATTCGGGGTTCAATTTAAATGTACCTTCCAAGGGTTTTAGAAGATCGTACGCACAGAATAAATGTAACACTCGCATGAAAATCCATGCACCTTATTTATAAAGAAATAAAGCTTAAATTGGAACAAATAGTACATAGATATGGCTAAAATAACTTGGTTTCCGGGTCAATCAATTCAGACTTGTTTGACCAGACGAGAGTCGTTGCAGTTCGAAGTTATTTTTCAAAGGATCTGAGGCTGAAATTTTATTTGCATGATCCAAAGAGTTTTTTTATTTATTTGGATGACAATTGACAAAGACATTCTGTATAGGATATATTGGCGGCATTGTTCGATTATGCCAACATAAAAAAAATATATAGACTATTTATTTTAATAAATCTATTATTACATTAGAAGTATATGAAATAATTAAGAATTTTACAATAATGAATTGCGTATTATTTTATTATAAATATATTAAATAAAATATCAAAAAAGTAAATACTTTCTAAATATGTATCTTTAAACCAAATATAAGTAGTTAAATTCTCAGTGTAGTAGCCGGTTGATAGCGTAATCGACTCCAGGACTCAATCCCGTTATAAAAATCCCGGGATCCGGGATTCGGATCGCGTAATAATTGATGAGTGCATTAGACACACGTGTCGGCCATATTTTATTCAACGACTAAGACAACTCATGATTATGCAGCAGTTTCTACAATTCTATTCCTTTACAATACACGCGTAAAATAAATACAATATAATGTATATGTCTATATTTAAAATATATAAAGGCTTTATAAAATGTATTTTGTTTATTGTAATATCTGTTTAAAAAATATCTAAATGAAACCTTAAAATGTATTTATATAAACTCGGCTGTATACGTATTTAAGCAACGTCTACATTAAAAACAAATAAAGCACATGAAATCCCCTTACTTATCTAGCACTTAGTAATTTCGTATAATCCGATACAACTTTTAATACCCCGGCGGCTACCAAAAAAGCGACTTAGTAGAAAAACTGCTCCTTTCACACGCTTACAATATACTCCCTCATAAACGAATGTTCTGTCCCTTTCTATCTTGTATCTATCCTACTTGTGAGTTGAGACAAAGAATGGCATACTTAAGTATAATTGTCTCGAATTTAAATATAATTTACGATTAATTAATTTCTGTATACGGATATGTCATTTATTGTAAGCTAACTTAATGAATCTTAACAAAAATGTGGAATTAAAGAAAAATGTAAAATTTTCTAAGCGTTAATTTCGTCGTTATTTTACAATAAATTGACATAAAAATTATTATGAAAATACGACTAACCTGCAAAGTAAAAATCCTTGCACTAACATGTTGCTGTCCAAACAATATAATAAACAAAACGTCACAACTTTCACGTAAAGATAGAAGTATAATAGTCTAGATACAATCATCTATACTCCATAGTCTATACAGTACGTACACGTAGAAACTGCATGCAATTAAAACCGAACTCGAGAATGTACAAAAGAAACAACTCCACAATACAAGGGGGAGCTCGTTATCATTCATAATTCATGAAACCTGGTACGTTTTCCTATTACCTACGAATTTTATAAGGTTTTCAGAGTTCGTTTTACGCTGTTTGACAGGTTAGCACTGAGCGGCAGCGCGACTTCACAGAATGCGTTCGGAAATAACGTTTGCTATTCAGACAATGTTTTTGAATTTAAATTGTTTATTTTTTTACTTTCAAAAATGAAAGGATATTTGTTTTAATAGTGTACATATGAATTCATTGTTTTGTGATTTAATTTAAATTAGCATTATAAATCTTTTATAGTAGTTGATTACACAATTTAGTGCAATATAATTAGATCAATAAAATGAAAATCAGTAGTAGGAGATTGAAGGTAATTCATAACCGGTTATTGCCAACCCTCGCTTGACGAACTCTATTAATTAAAACGCTGTGTAAACCGAGCTATCTGATGGCCGGCACCCAATTAGAGCGAACAACCAACGCGCCAAAAATTATGCGGCTTAACGGCTCCCGCGTAATTTTGACAAACGACCGCCCGGATCGCTTTAAATGGAGTTTGATCGATTACGCTATCCGTCCTTATTTTAAAGTTCAGAAATTTTGTTTGAATTTTTTTTACCGCAATATTTTATATTATGTAATCTTTATATAATATAAATTTTGATATCACTGATTTATTAAAATAAGACAACATTAATATATTCATACATAGAAAGTAATGCAATCACAAGAATACAATATTTCCATGATAATCAATACAGATATAAATTAAAGAAAATGACGTGCAAAATTTACCAAAATACATTCAGTTCAAACGTTCGTTGATATAATAGCTTGATAATAAAGCCGGTCCCTGTGGAGGTGTGCACGTCATAGCAATATACCATTCATCAGGCGAGGCGTCGCTAAACACCGCCAGCCGCATAAGATAACCGCTGTAAACCGACAACAATACCCTTCGCACTCAATAAAAGATGATAACACATGAAATATGCACTGACGACACCCTCACGAAATATACACATCTACGAAACAAATTAAACTCTTACAATATATACATAGAGCATAAAATACAATATAATCCGATCCCACCTAAGACTTTCTACAAATAAAGCTACAACTAGCATAATAAACTGGCTCCAACGAAAACATACCACAGTGATCGTGTATACAGCCAAAATTTCAAACAAAAACTATCCAAGTTACAACGTTTCAGAACGGAGAGCGCGCCGAGGAAAACAAAAGCGCGGGAACGGCCCCCATTGGCGGAGGAGGTAGGCGTTCTCACCGATAATATGGCGGAAATATTGCGAGGAGGTATTCAAGGCGCAGGGAGACGGCTCCCTCCGAGGTTAATTACTCGCCGGCCGATAAGGCACCGGCTCGCTAATTACGTACTTATGGCGGACTGAAATTAAGTTATCGCCGGTCGGGTAGCGACGTTCACTTTGTTTGCGTTCCATTTTACGGATAATATGTATCCCGCGGTGGTTCACAGTAATGGAACTAAATTGGCTCGCGTTCCGTACTAACTTCACGTCTAAGGACCGGAGCCGAGATAATGGAATCATTGTTCAAACACTGGGGCCCTTTTGATCGTTTAACTTAATTTTTTACATGGCGTAGCAAAATATTTAATTTTTACACAATGAATCGTTGAAAATGAATACTTTATAATCCAGTGTTTCTGAACGCGATTTATAAATTATTAAACGATGACAGGGAACCGTGTCTACTATATATATGAAGTAGGCATACAAAGTATATTTTAAGAGCCGCAAACAACACGACTGGCAGCTGTGTTTCTAAATAAAATGCGATAAAATAAAAAGACGGCGACAAAACGTAGATACTTACGAATGGACAATTTTATAACTAGATCGATTTACGTGTAACGACGCTTCTAACACAACGCCATAAGGTCGAAATTCGCTTGTATTAATATTTTCAGATAGTAAATCGTAATGTTGTTGCTTTATACATATTTACCACAAAAGCGGCTCAGAGAGAGATCGCGGGATCCGTTCCCCAGTTTTATTTTTCCAAGCTCTAAATGGAGTCGGTGGAGCATTTAAATAAGCTTCGACGCCTGAAGTATGGTAATGCTAGTAATACGAAAGAAGAAAGCGTCAAAGCGTCCGCCATTTTGAATTCTATATATAAAATATATTATCAAAAAAAAAAAACCTTCGAAATAAACAAGAATTACTTAATTATTAACCTCAATAAAAACTATACATGAAATATAAGTATTTTTTTTATAAATTGAGTAAATCAAAGAAAAAAGGCCGAAATAGCGGTGCCTTTGTAACATAATTAGTTACAAATTATAACATAAAAACGTGCGAGTCTTAAGAGAGTGGCGCCGATGCGTAGCGCGGAATGCTTGTCTTGAAATATAGTAATATAATGATATACTAATTAAACACACGTTTTTGGCTAATCATTGACAGATTGTAAATACTTTTAAATACACAGATAATAATAAATTTTAAATCAATATGACAGCAGCAAAAATTATTTATCTGTGAATACGGATGAAATAATACGAGAACAATTTCCATTATTTTATAACTTCCTCGCTTTGAACTTGCACAGCTAATACAGAAACACTTAAACTATGAAAGCGTCACATTATTCATATTGCCAAAGCACTAAATATTGTTATAAACAAAGTTATTAATATAGTTACATAAATAGATGCTTGCAACATATTAAAAGCGTTAAAACTGTCACGTGCAAGTGAACACGCGGCGCGATGCTAGTCAACCGTAAAGATTCCAGACTCCTACCTAATTAGCTTCCGTAAGTTGTAAATCTGATGTACGGACGTCAACGCACTTTGATCTTTACTGCTGGAACGGAACGTTGAGATGAAGCGGTTTCTGAACGGAGCGTTTAACGTCAAATGTGGCGGGAATAACGGGGGAGTGTCAGAAAAAATACGTATAATAAAACCTTGTTATAGATAGTGATAATTAATAAGTTATTTCGTTTAATTAAATTTATATAACATAAATATATTTGTAATTTCTATTTACTTAGTTATTAAGCTTAAATGAAATAATTAGCTTGTTTGAGAACTAGAAACTTTCGCAAAGATCTCAATATCAAATCTTAACAAAGTTTGCTAATTAATATTATCTGAAAATGACATAGAATCAATACTTATATGTAATTAAAAATAATAATTATTAACAATATAATAGACATTGGCTGTATGTAAATTAATTAATCTAATTAACAGATAATAAATAATGATGTGACATATCTTGGCTGTATAATCGTTATATCATATCAATCAGCGGGCCAGAAACAATCAATTAGAAACCGATCCCCTTTCAATTATTCCCGGTATCGTTGGGTAATTGCCTCGCCCGGATGGGGAGGGGATGAATTACGTGATATAACATTTGATTCGTATTTATTTATATAAACACACACACACACACACAGACACACACACAGAAACACGCACACATATAAACACACATAGATTTTTCTAAAGATTTTGTTTTTAGATCATATTTATTACGTAATTTCAATTTAGTTGTAGATTTTATAAAATTTATAAGTAATCTATAAAAAACAAATATATCGCATTTAAAGAAGTCAATGCAATGTAATATATTAATATATATCATACTAATTTTTGTTAATATATAGATAAACCTTGACCAATTGAATTGTCATGAAAATAAATATATTTAAAATTCTGTTTTAATAACGAAATAAGCAACATAAAATTTAATTTCATAAAATTAAGTACATCTCAACTTCATATTACAAGGACAACGTATTTGTTTCGCTAGTTAAAAAACAAAATATGGCGTTACAATCAATAAAAAATATTTAAATTAATCTATATGGAAGCTACGTCAACTGTCAAAAGAAAGTAAAAACCGCGGGCGCAGCTGTCATATAATTAGTTTGACGCCTTCATTTCTCACGTCCATAAATCACAGAACAATTGCTATCAGACAAAGTTATAATAGCAATAGCCATTAGCACACGTAATAGGGACACCTCGACACCTGAGGCTTCGTGATCGATTGCCAACTGGACCTGGAGATAGCGATACAAACGTTTATATTGTAATTATTTGATTGGATTACGGACTAATGATTGATGTGATTTATTATTAAAACATTTTCTGGCTGTATAATTTAAACTTTGCATCTGGGTATAAATAAAATCAAATTCAAATAGTGAATGTTATTTTTAATGCACAATGAAACAAGACGAGCTTATGTCATTAAAATTTTATAAAAATAGTATTGAATTAAATTTGATTAAGAGATTAGATTGTTATATTTTATTTTTCTATAACCAACATAGATTATTAGAAAATAATAAAAATATTGTTCAAAAAGATGCCTAAAGCTTATAATATGTCGTGTATATATAGGATCTACGTAATTATTATTTTAAGGACACCGAAGCTGTCATAACAAAAAAATATAGTTAAAATTAAAAAGCACATCAACTGTCATTCTAATTCTAAATAGCGCTGTCAGTGTGACAGGTGGCAGTTTTTAAAAAAATTTCATACACAAAAATGTCCATACCAATAGGTCCGTGTTAATTAATATGTGTCGCGACAATTATGAATGCTACTGCCGCGGCTGGAGTGGGAATTGTTTTGATCGTGCTAGCCTTTCTTCTTATTAGATGGAAGTACAAATGTTGTAAGGTAAAAAACACTACATGAGTAAGCGATAGAGTTTTCTATTAGATAATATAAAGATATAACGTAAAACATAAGATAATAAGCTTTCTTGATGAACTCATGAAATTCTTAATCTATTTATACGTACACGTTATATATGTCAAAAAAAAAATGGCATTAAAATTAATACACTCGTATGAATGACATTTTAAACACTTGGATGACATTCAAGCACATGGTTTATTTCATACAGCCGCACAGTACACATAAAATAATATTTTTCCGAAACTTACTTCCGTTATATCAACCATAGCTTATTTCTCTCTAAGGTGCCAGTTTCAAGCTGTCCTACATGTACAGTTCCCGTGCAGCTTGTTCACAAGCTGTGCCCTCATCGCAATGTAGTCCAGCGGTACCAGGTGGAACAGAAGGACAGCTTGGACGATCACCTGGATGTACTCACGAGGAAACTCGCCGAGAAGGTGCCCTTAAAATATTGAGACCAATTATAAGACTAGACTAGACTAAGACTTGTAAAGTAGTCATTGAAATAGTTTTCTTATATCTTTCTCTCGTCTTCTTCTTGAGTTACTTTGCAGCAATGCAGCAAAAAACGTCGGGAGTATGTCGTTAAAAATAATTATAAACGCCTAGTAAATTCAATAAATATTAGTTTTATTTCTATGAATGAATTTTCTTTCATCATCCACTGAATACAATTTTTAAAGTTAATAATACAATTATCAAACATAAAATTCTATAAGACCGACACTTTCAAATATAGACAATGTTTATGTGTAAAAAATTATTACGTAATATTGTAAATCCTAAAAGTAATAATGTACAAAAAGGATGGACTGGGAATAAAAATTAGGATAAAAACTTAATTGAAACGAAACTAATATTTTTGTATTTTCGGATTACTACGCGTTATTTTATTATTTTAAAACCACATACTTTCGATGTTTTGGTTACTTTGCAGCAACCGTGATCACGAGCAGACGAGATGTAATTTAGATCTCATAAATAGAAATGAATTTTCATTACACAAAATAAATTATTTAATCTAGGAGGGCCGGCTCCGATTATCAAAATCTAAAATCCGAGAAACACAGAACGAGATTGAGAATCTTCACGCCATAGATCAGGACGTGCGAGTGAGGTACAGAGAGATTATGGAGTCACTACGAGCAGATCTGCTGGCCAACGAGAAGGAGTGCAAGAAACTACAGGAACAGATAGAATGGGTGTCCAGGAAGCGTGCAGAATTACGGGATGAAGTTAGTATATATAAAAACAGCAGAATTACAGCAGTTTCCAACGTCACCGTATTTCGTGCTATGTATGAATGTGATGACTTCGTATATGTCGATGTAGAGAGAGGAGCTTGGAATTTAGAGGTGAGCGTTTAACGCGTTAGATAGGGTCTTAAAACCTACACTTGGGTCCCAAGTCCCAGTCACCGTTGAAGCTCCTCTCACTACAACGATGGACCAGACACACGCATATGAATGCATTGAATGATGAGAGGTTTCGTCTCATATGCCTAAGATTAGTGACTTTATCTTCACAATGGATGAAGATTTTGTCCTGTTGCTAAACTATCGGTTTTAGTTGGCTGACTTTTCGTACCGGCGCTGCTATCGTGTGCTTCCGTCTTATACCTTGGACTTATAACAATATTACGATCCAAGGATAGAAGAGCATGTGACTTGAGGCTTACTTTTTTGGCGGGACTTTTTTTTATATATCCAAAGGAACATAAACTTATTACCCGGTTGGTTAGATTTTAAAGTTTAAAAGAATGATAGGACCTAGTTATACTATTCTTTTTCCTTCAATAGCAATTTTTATGGTAGAAATCGAACCTAAAACTGAGTATTATTAAGAAAATCTACCGTTTTATACTTTAGTATCAACAATTCTAAAAATTACATACACTTTTGACGACATCATCAAACAAATAAAACGATACCTTCTACGACAATTCTACTGACTGATAAATTGGTGGCTTAATAGGTGCGTCTTGGACAGAAGTTATATGGGGAAGCCGCTGCCGAATTAGCCAGTAATCTAGCTGAGATTCAAAAAGGGCGCTCCGTTGATGTCAAAGTTACTGACAAGCCCTTGGAGCCTTCCTCGACGTCCCTCCGCCGTCGGAAGGAGCCCACACTACCCAGGGCTTCGCCCGTCAGTTCTCTGACCATCAAAACATCACCTCGCCTCTCCCACGAGTCAATCGCTATGAGACACAATTAATACTGATATTTATACACTATTGTGTGTGACATTGTACTTTTTTTTATTTTATTTTATATCATATATATTTTTGATGCCTTTTTATTTTTGATATGTTTATATTTGAATATACTTTTACAATATTTATAATGTTGCCTTTTATTGAAGTTATAGTTTTTAATAATTGAATTTAGTGAATATTTCGGTGGAAATAATTTTTTGTTTTTTAAGTTTCGTTGAGATTTGGTAACAAATAAGTTCTTTAAGAATCAGCACTATTCGGGAACACTTTAAAAACGAACTTTTACCTGTTTCTAAAAAATATATCAAATAAGTGGCCCTTAAAGACGTTATGAAAAAAGAAATTTTTGTGAATATAATTTTTTTATATAATGATATGGTATTTATACCGGCAGGCGGCCGGTCGTAAAAACAAATAGCCAAAAACTATTCACAACATTTAAGGCAGACCCTGGCTGTAGCTGGAAAATTGCCAGGTAGAAGAAGAATGATATGGTATTTCATAACTAATCAGTTATCTTGGTATTTTTTATTTAATCACTATGAGCCGCAAATAGCAATAAATGTACACGCAAAATGATTTCCATGGATTTATAAAAAATGCTTATAAATACACTTAAAAAATATCCTTAATATTCATCAATAGCTTATTAACGAAAAGAAATAAGTTGCAATTCAAAATGTCTTATTAATAAAAGCTGTATGGTGTGATATATCAATTATAGTTGTAACAAAGAGTATAAAGAAGCACGTTAATATCAGTGACGTATCCCGGTTCCCGAGTACGAAACAAAACCACCGCCGTCCCAACCCCATTTATATCCCTCGTTAATTCGGAGGGTTAAAATCCCCGAAAAAGTGAGCACTTGCCTTGTTTACAAGGTTTTAGATTTTAATTTAGATTGGGGTCACCATATGTTTGTCGGAAAAATGACGTAAACGTCACATGAATGCGCGGGAATTGGGTTCTTTTTAGTAGCGAGTTAAAATACTGGGTGTTTTACGAGGGGACATTGTATCCATTAAAATCGCATTCGTATGTGATCACCTAATACAATATCATCAAGTCCACGCCGGGGGTGGGCTGTGAATAAATTCCTTTCAATGATTTGCGTCACATTTTCATAATTCAGTAATTGTTATCTTGTTATATAACGCAACTGGCTCAACTTAATTATGATTATGACACAAAGTACCTAGGTATCTTAAAAAGACAATGACATTGACAATTCTTGACGTTGACATTTTATTTTTTTTAAATACAAAAAAATGCAAAGGAATATAGAAGATGATATTTTAAATTAAATAAGTATATTAAAAAAATAATTAAACAAACAATGCTAGTTCATTAATTAGTTCCACATTGTAGACATCTGTGCTTCTGTCTGTATGTTTGTTTTCTTACGCACATTTGTTTCGCCGGAGGGAGATGAGTATAATTGAGTCGGTAAACATTCAAGTTTGTCAACAGAACGTCAAATTGATTGCTAATGGGATATTTTCTAGCCACTTTGTCCGTCGAAAGCCGTCTATTGTTGTGGCATTACTTATTTGATCTGGTTTTATTAATTTGATTGCTATATTTTAAATTGCATTAGGAAGAGATAAAACATGCTGTCTATCGATAATTTGGTCAAAAATCAATATAACTCATGACGTATTTTTGATTCAAATAATTTATCTAGCTTTATAAAAATGTACGGCTTATAAAAAATACATATGTACATATTTGAATTTTCTATTATTTCAATATAAGGATAAAATACATAATGAAATTTAATATCGGTAATAATATAATCATATATTTCTTTTAACTCTCATTTCCTACTTAAGCTCTCTATCTAACACGTTATAAGTTGAATTAATCGGAGTGGAATAATTTTCATAATTTCTTTTTTATCTCAAATATAATTTATGGTTCCTTTATCGTAATTTCATCTTTAGTGTCTATGTTAATGTTTAATCAAAAAATGCAAATTTAATACAAATGTTTACAGTTATAAAAAGTAGGTATCCAGTTGTAGTTACGTGCATCACGGAAAAAAATAGATGTCAATTAATATTTAATAAGATTAGTTTTAACACTTTGAAATTATTTAATATAATTTGGTAGTAACAATAAATATAAAGTTATTAAAGTTTTAGAATAAAGACAAAAAAAATTTAGTAAAGCTCTGGCATCAGTTAGTTTTGATATATTGATGCATTTCTTCAACCTAAAGTTGCAAAAATTACGCAGCGTTAACAAGTTTTCTTTCCTAAATGTTTCCATTCTATATAACGTGTGTTATTGAGCCACAAACGGTAAACGCATCGTGTAATGAAAACTTGTAATAAGCATACAATTCAACGTTCACTAGTAATAAATAGCCAACGTAAAGTAATATAAGAGAATTTATCTGTAATGGTATCTATGAGTTTCGAGAGTAACTATTCATTTAAATGAAACTAATATTTTTCTTATATAACTTTTTTTTAGTAGACGATAAAAATTCTTCTTAAAAGTATTATGAGAAACCATATTAATATATGGAGTATTTAAGTACATAGATAATTATTTAGGGAATGTGTTTCAAGGTTCGAATATATACTTAGTTTATGACTTAAACTTACCTATCTCCGTTTATATAACTGTAGGTTAAAATATATCAATACGAGCTACAAATAAATTTCAATATACTTAATCAATTATTTTAACAATATTCTAGTTTATTTAGTACCTATGCTAGTTATAAATCTTCGCATTCGTTCATAACAATTATATAAACGTAAAACCAATGACTTTGTAAAATATGACTTTGAAAACTCATTTTAATAATACATTTATCAATTCCAAGTTACTTTTAACGCCTCCACATCGTATTCATAATTGGTTTGTCATAATAATTTCTTATTAACTCGTGTGTTTTAATGTCCATTATAATTTATTATTAATCTTCAACACGTTCCAGTCTACGCGACTTATTTTATGCTTCGCTTGATCTTTTCACCCCACATTAGAGGGTAAGCTCCTCGTTTTAGGAGTTTGAAGCGTCAGAATGCAGAAAATCGATTTAATTATTATAATATTGATGTGAAATTATAATAATTGAGGATTTGGTTTGGAATGAAATAAGGACAAAATTTAAGAATCGGGTTTTAAATATCAATGATACATAATATTATACATATATATGTATATATAACAAATGTAAAAGATGAATGAGTTAATCAGTAGTTTAAATGAATTTGTTTATTGATAAATCGGAAAAGAAAACGTTTTATTTTAATTTTAATATAGACACATTTATTAAAATAAAAATTTAAATTTGCTAAAGATGTAACTGTCGTAAACAAATACTTTATATGTATATTGTATATACAAAGACAGAAATTTTAACTATAACAGAACCCCTTGTTCTGAAAGTTAAGTTTAATTAAATTTATATTCAAAAATATTATATATATTTCTATATTTTTTAAAAGGACATTATATAAAAAAATATAATATAATGAAACGAAAATTTAACAAGATCAAAATATATTAATTTAGCATCTAAGGTAAGATATTATGATGATAACATTTTCACATAAACATTGGAATAAGGAGAAACTACTACCATTCGTAGATGAGTAGCGCCATCTCGTAGCTCTTGAAAGAATTACTACAAATAAAACAATATAAAAACATTTATATACAAAAAATACTGCCGAATAACACATATTTTTGATTTTTATATTTAGTAACTGTGTAAGATTAATCTAATTATTTATAATCTATACACTTTGTACAATAATAATTTAAAACATTAAACTTGACGCTGTAAATAAAATCTATAGATTATAAAACTCGGAAATAACCGATCTGAAACCTTTTAAAAAGGGTCTAAAAGGGTTTCCCTTAATAAGGCATAAAAATTCAATGAACTTAGTCCGATAATTTTTAACAAGCTACTAATTGTAAAACACTTTAACTTAGAATACTGATGTATTCACTTTCTTCGTTGGGATCAAATTTGATAATTGAAACCTTAATATAAATATGATGCTTATTTATAAGAAATTCTAGGCTTGTTAAAGCTTTGTTTATAATTATTACAGGAAAATATATTTCATTTAGATTGATTCCTTTGCAGAATCATATTCTTTAAATAGAAAGATAAATAAATAGTTTCATCTATATCTTTTACACTCTCTTTAATCTAACGCTACGAAATCGTGAATATAAATAAATAAAATTTAATAAATAACAAAAATACAGCTATAATTTTAAAACAACAAATGGAAGATTTTTATTTCCGTGCTTGAGATAGAAAGCAAGCAAATTTATTTTCGTGTAACACAGAATTGAAGAGCGCGAAGCAAGCTGTAAATAAAATAAAAATGTAAATGATGTCCCCCCGGCTCGCCCGCCCAAATGTGCGGCCGGCTTCTGGCCGCAGGACTTCCCAAAATATTGACGTTCACTTTAAAATGCACTCAGTTAATTATTATTTATTATAAAATATTAAAAATCATGTGTATAAAGTATAGAAAAATACATTATCTAGGTTTTATAATATTACTTTATATGTAGATACTCTTTTTTAAAGCACTAAAGTTATGCATCTATTTTATTATTAGAAGTTTGAAAACGAAATTGTGTAGTCAAAAAAATATATGTTAATTAAATAATAATATATTTTAATTTACATTTTGAGAACCACATAAATATTTTTCCCCACTCGTAATAAGCGCATTAAGGGTGGAAAAATTTAAACTCGTCGCGTCCGGAAAGTTTTCACGTTTTCTTTTTACATTAAGAACAAAAAGGAAAAAAAGTACCTACTTAGAAGGGTGGCGCAACTTTTAATATCGCTGAAATACAACGTCATGAAGAAATACTCTTTATTTTTATATGATTAAGGTATATTTTAGAATGACGTATATTTTTAACTCTGAAAAACATGTTTGCAAGTTTTAATAAAAACACGTTGTGTATGTGCTTAGCGATTTTAAAAACGGGGGAAAGTCGCGGGGGAGTTTTTATACCTTCGTATATGTTATTTCGGTTTCCTCATTAATTCACATAAATAAAGCTGTTAAAAACTTTAGTACTAGTTTCACGTGAGCCGTGAGGGAATAATTAAGTTACTAGAATTCTAAAACGTGTCCGAGGAAACTAATGATGTATTTATTACTATTTAATAAATAATCTTCTATATATATAAAAATGGATTGCTGTTCCTTAGTCTCGCTAAAACTCGAGAACGGCTGAACGGATTTATCTTATCTTAGTCTTGAAATGTTCGTGGAGGTTCAGGGAAGGTATAAAAGCTGAAAAAAATTGATTCACTACTGGGAAAACCATAAAAACAGCCCTTTTCTATTTCCCGTACAAACGTTTTTTTGACATTAGATTTGACAACTAACTAATATGTCAATCATTCTGTCGCACTTCAAAACACGGAGATTTATGGCTTACAGGATGTCCCTTATTTTTCAAAGTTTTAATTTTGTAACGCATATTTCCTAGCCTTGTTCATTTGCTTCTAAAACATTCGGAAATAATATTTTACTTTATTAGAAGAACGGTAACCTATACCGACTTGCATTGAAACATCTTCATACTTGTCCCACGACTGTATCGCGGCAATTATTTTCGCGATTAACACTTATTGTTTTATATTTAAAATATGGCAGGGGCTTCAAGAAGTAATAAATAATGTTTTTTCTTAGTTGGTTTATAAGTGAATCTTCAAAAACCAGGGGTCAAGTTACTATCAAAACGTTCATTTCTAGCAGTAGGTACTTTATTTTAACATTCGTTAAGTGATATTGTCTGTTAATGAAATCGCTAATCTCGTCATTAGGAAGTGTACTATATATTGGGGAAAAACTAGAATCCCTACCAGATCTATACCTCACTATGTAAAAAATCTTGCTGATTCTCACCATGCTTGTAGGGAGTTGCAAAAAAAGTAAACCATACACGATATTTACAAGCTCCGCGAGGAGGACTTTAAAAAGGAAGTTAGATAACTTATTTGACATACCGCACGCTGATGCTTCTGATTGGAACGGATTAAAATTGAATAAAACAAGATAGTTTTACAAAAACAAAGAGACCTAGGGCGTCCAGGGTATTTAGCGGTTGTAGACAAAAAGTTAGCCGAGAAAGAAGAAAAGGGAGAAAAAGGAAACTAAATGAAGAGAAAAAGGTGTGGGAAAATGTCATGTCATCAGCCTATCAGAAGTCCACTGCTGAGCAAGGCCTCTTTCTCACATGGAGAAGGTTTGAGCATTAATCACCACGCTTGCTCAAGACGGGTTGGTGATATCAAACTTATAATGAAACTACAAGTCCAGGTTTCCTCACGATGTTTTCCTTCACCGTATGTCAGTGATGTCTAAATACTCTCAGAAAGTACATATGACTCCGAAAAATCACATGTATTTTGAGGGGAAAATGTATTTTGAAGGTTTATCGTCATAAGTTAAAATGCAAGATGTTATTCATTAAACATCAAGATCAACTTACCAGCTCTGATTACAGCTTTGAGGAAAACTTGGCATCCACCTCTCAAATGGTAAATTCTGAAACTACTACAAAAAGAGGAAGGAAAGATGCCTGAGTTAGTTGCAGCTTTAGATAGATGTCAACTAAGCTTAAAGGAATTCTGTATATATACATAAAGCTGTGGTAGAAACACTAGATCTTAGCTGTGATGATTAAAATAAAAAAATCGTATATTGAACGTATTTGCACACAGGGTCGAAAGGATAGAAAAGAATCTATGAAATCCGATTTTCAGAATAAACATGTGAACAATCAGTAGATGGAAAATAATTACCTGGACCTAACGTAAGAAGTTCTAAAGAAGAACACCCCAATTTTAATTTTATTTGTAGAAAAGGAACAATTTTTGACTGTACCCAGATTCGAAAGTTCTTCTGGCGAGGATCAAGTTACAGCTGTGATAATTGCACTTTATGACTGGAAACTCGGTAAAAAGTACAAATAATGTGCTGTGATACAACTACGTCTAACACTACAAGGTAAGAGCAAAAGTTACTTTTGCTTCGTTGTCTTCAGGAGCATAAAAGAATCTTAAAAAAAACTATCCTACCTGATTTGTAATTTTCTTTTAATAAATATATTAAGAAAATTGAGTATTTCAATTGATTTAGTTATATAACGAAAAGGGTTAAAAAAATTAAATCTTCCAGGCCCTGTCGGGACGGGTTAACGTTGACGGAAGAAAGCCAAATTTTGTATATAAGTTAGTCTAATAAGAAATAGTGGGTATGCGTTTTAATAACTGGAAAAAAATACCCATATAAGGGATACCCCAATATATATACTTATATGTAATATTTAAGTAAGAAATGTAAATATTAATACTTTATTGAATTTATTTCCTTGACACTCACGAGTGATCACTTAATTGATTGTATATAACAATTTGCGGGTTTGAATCTTGTTTACGTCCTCTATTTTAATTAAAAATATGTTTTCTTTTATCTTGAACTTTAATTATAACATAATCGAATTGAGAATTTATTATAATCTACACTTGTATTTTTCATTTTTGTTTTAAAGATGAGTTTAATCGTTAGATGATTGTAGTCTTAAAATAATTTATCATATAATTATTATAAAATATATCTATTGAAATAAACAAACCAACGGAGAATATATATGCTTTAAAATTTGAAATTTATGTCAACAGAATATTTTATATAACAAACACTATAATAAACATTTAAAAGCACCCTCATATAACAAAAATACTTTTATTTATTTTTACATACATTTATTTACACTACGGAACCGTTCAATCTCATTCCGACTCACACTTGACCAGATATAATATAACATAAAATAAAACTCATTGTTCTAATACCATGATATTTATTTCAATAATAGACGAAACGAACGATGATACATTGATTATAATATTATACACACTAAGGTACACTTATATTATATATTATTATTATATAAATCAATTGTCGTATTTATCTTTATTATCTTCATCATCGTCTTCTTCTATAGCGAAGTCAGTTTCTAACACCACCTGGGAAATAATTATATATATTTAGGAAACACAAGTTAAATTCGAACAAAACCTAATTTACAAACTTCGGAACGCACCCGAAGTGATATTGAATAATGACATTTGTTTTTTAAAATTTTGCGCGGGAAAGTATTTATCAATTTAGTCAAGTTTCTTGTCAAATGACAAGCAGTTGTCAATGTGGCGGCATTTGCGATTGTGTTTATAAATTAATTTTAAGTTTTTAAAGGTGTTTTGTTTTATGATAATAATAAGCTAAGTCTTTAAGCCAAGTTTGTTCCAGTTAAGGATTGATTTCTTACAAAATTTTAGATTTGTATGACATACATATCTTTTGTAATGATATATTCACTTGAAATCTAATCATATCTATACAGGGTGACTGGTGAATTACTATCGATACTTGAGGACGTGATATTTGACGATCATATATGACAGAATAAAAATTAATATAACATAAATATTAATAAACTTCTAAGTAAAGTTAACCAAAAGTTATGTAATTAATTACGCATCGTGTGAACACCCTACAGATTAGGTATACACTGACACTCACACATACACGTGTCGTGACGTAGTGTTGTATCAGCACGTCGCCGCACGCGTCCACACTTGAACACTTGGAACGTGTCAACACTTTATTTATTTATACGGAAATTTTGTCAAAAATTAAGTGCCTATTTTTTTTACATAATTCGAATGAGAATCATGTACCGAGTATGCTCCTTAAATATTGATAGTAATTCACCAGTCACCCTGTATATATTCATACATAATCGTAAACCTAGTAAATTGCTGTCTGACTTTTCTGTCTTGTGGCTTGAAAACTCTAGAATTATCTGGGTAATGACTAATTCTTGGCTATTCATTATTATCTATGGTCTCATGTATAGTGACGTCATCAACCCACCCCCTGCATGTTAGCCACCGCCTGGTGCGTCTCCCTTTCCTCGCTATCTTCGTGCTCCTCGACAACTTGTAACTGAGTTTCTTCTCCGCCGTCTATGAAAAAACAAAGTTATATTAATATTTGTTCAAAAGATATAATATAATTTTTTCAGTATATTTATGTTATGATTGATTTTTATTTTAGCTAAGCCTTTTTTAAAGTTTTTATTCCTATAGATCTCTTTATTAACAAACTTCAGCCAATGCACGATAGTTTAGTTGTTTTGTAACTGGAAGGAGAAATTTTCTAGGTAAAAAGTTCGAATCTTGTCATGATTTTTTCATACTAAATACTGGTTCAGCATTACATTACTGATAAATAATTGAGTTTTTGAAAAAAGTAAGTGAAATTTTTTAATGTATTATAAAACTGTATTATTAATAATACTGTCATTTACAGCAAAAATCTTTTAAAAAAATCTATTTATTAGAAACAATTAAAATTTGATCAAATTGAAATAAAAACCACGTATTTATAAATTCATCATTGGTTACCGTAATTGTGACATCATAATATTTATTCTTTCTATCAATATATTTCTTTTTTCATATAACTTTTGAATTAAGGAACAATTTTTTAATACATAAAATGCATGAAATCTTTCCATTTATCATATTAAATTTTGTTTCAAAAACCCATTTATAAAAAGTGTTTAAATCCTGAAATTTCTCACAAAAAAATTGTTTTTTTTGACGTGACAACGTCTTATAAATTGGTTTGCCGGGTGACACTTCAAGAAACTGCGGTACGCTCCGCTCACGTTATGCGCTTACAATGAGAGCGAGTGAGAGGCACGCGTCCCTTCCACTCGGGCATGGTTAGCCCGCTTAGGAGCGAGAGAGACAGACATAAAAAGTGAAAGGCAAAATGCTGTTTCATTGTACGCAAATGTATTGCAAGTTATTGTATGTATATTTGTATGTATATAAATACGTATGTATGTGTAAAGGTAAAAATAAAATTTTGTTAATATGAAATTCAGTGCGAGATTCTTTGTATAAATAAATGTTTTAAATTGTTACTATTATTTCATCCTTCTTCCTACTATACGAATAAATATTCACATTAAAATTATTTTACCACTCAAAGTCGTTGTCACGTAAAACTTTCGCCCGTATACCGACTTTACAGGCAACCAATTTTTTTGTTATCCCAATTCCATGACAGATTTAAATCTTCAACAATATTTTATAAACAAAACCTATATTAATGTTGTCAAACCTTCATTAGTATGTATCAGTTGCAGCGTTCCATCCACAAACTGCCCCGTCAGTACTCCGGACAGGTTGCTCACATTCAACTGCTGCCTTATTTTCCTCGCTTCTTGCTCCAACTGTTGTTGTATATAAAGCTCCTTGTGATGAACTTTGTTGTGGTACTTGAGGTGATGTGCCTTTGTGAACTTCTTGTTGCATGGTGTACAACTGAAAAGTTATAATATATGTATATATATTTTGTTTCTGTTGAAAATAATAGAGAAAAAACTAGCTTTTTTCATTTTTAACTAAATTTTATTAATAATCTAATATATTTCATCACTACAACGCCGCTCTACAAGTTAAATGACGTTGCATAAGAAATTATCACTTAGCGAGAATGCTAAGTTAATAATAAATATAGAACAAAGTCGTATTTTTTTTTTAAATTATCAATTCAAATCCAAACTTCGCCTTTTAGTATTTTAATTTTTAATATATTATGAAGTCACAAAACTATTTACCCCCCCCCCCCACATGTATGCATTAATGTGTGACGTGCTTTATGTATATCCACTTATTTGAATTAATAAATTATTATAACATTGTTTATTGTACTTGAAGAATATACTAAATTACATTCTAGAACTATTATATCTATCAAATGTATTATCGTGTCAATTTTTCAATTAAATATCCCAAATTCGTATTCTAACCCACCACGCTTCTCTGTGGAATGGTGTGTTATACTCACGAGTATTTCTTCTCTCCCGTGTGTGTCAGCATGTGGTTGGCCAGTACATATGAATATGTGAACGCTTTGCCGCACAACGAACACTGATACGGACGAAGACCCATGTGTAATCTGTTGGTAATATATAACAATATATATTATATTTAAATACAACAATATATACTTCTAGATATACTACATTCAACAAAGATTACAATATATACTACATTCATTATTCGGCTGTCAGATGTACTGGTTAGATTTCTATGGAATTCTAAAGTTATTTTTGGTATTCATATTATAATTACTGAGATATTTTCATTTAACACAAAACTGACCATAAATCTTATATCTAAAATTCCCGTGTCACAATATTCGTTCTTGAACTCCTCCGAAACGGCTTGACCGATTCTCATGAAATTGTGTGAGCATATTGAGTATGTCTGAGAAACGGCCAACATTTATTTTTCATACCCTTAAGTAGTTAAGGGTTGTCCACCTCAATTTTTTTGGACCATTTTTTTTATAAAGTGTGATTACAACCCTTAATTTTTACTTTTTTATCACTAACCCCTATTTTTTCATATGGCAAAACAATGTTTGCCAGGTCAGATAGTTATGTACTTATATTATGTATATATATAAGAAGACTAGAAGACCCGGCGAACTTCGTATCGCCCTATAATCAAGAAATATTTGTTACGTTTTTTTATTTATATTTTTGGAGTTTACCTATTAAAGCCATAAATCTCCGTGTTTTGACGTGTGACAGAATGATTGACATATTAGTTAGTTGTCAAATCTAATGTAAAAAGAAACGTTTGTATCAACAACTACTAATAAATTAAAAATAAATTAAAAAAACATTGTCTAGCGGACAAAATTGTGAATCTAAACCATTCCCAGATCCCCTGGAACACACACAAAAAATTTCGTTAGTCGGTCCAGTCGTTTGAGAGAAGTTCAGTAACATACACACTTACAGAAGAATTATATATACAGGGTGACTGGTGAATTACTATCAATATTTAAGGAGCATACTCGGTACATGATTCTCATTCGAATTATGTAAAAAAAATGGGTACTTAATTTTTGACCAAATTTCCGTATAAATAAATAAAGTGTGTACACGTTCCAAGTGTTCCTAATGTGGACGCGTGCGGCGGCGTGCTGATACAACAACACGCCGCCGCACGCGTATGTGTGAGTGTGTAGTGTAGAGTAATCTGTAGGGTGTTCATACGATGCGTAATTAATTACACAACTTTTGGTTAACTTTACTTAGAAGTTTATTAATATTTATGTTATATTAATTTTTATTTCGTCATATATGATCGTCAAATATCACGTCCTCAAATATCGATAGTAATTCACCAGTCACCCTGTATAAAGATATATATTACCGTTCATGTTTCTGCCTGCTGCCAAAGTCCCCAAACCTCCTGTCGCACACTCTACACTTGTAGGGCCTCACGCCCGTGTGACGCATCATGTGACGACGGAGCTCCATGTTTAGCACGCACGCGTAGCCGCACACACTGACATACACACACACATATATATATATAAACAAAAAGAAATATGTCTATATGTATAAGAAAACAATTAATATATACAACACACATGTTGTAGGGCATAGTGCAAGTCCGTGTAACTAGCAATGGATAATTCCGCGTATCTGCTTTCAAAGCAATTATACAGAAGAATTTAGAAACTAAATTATTTTCTGAATTTAATGACGTTTAGAGTAATTTTTTTCACAAGTAGTAATTATTTGGTGTTTAATTAATTATTAATAATTGTACAAAAAATTACTTTAAATGTCGTTAATTTATAAAATATTTCAGCTTAAATCTTCTTCTGTTAATCTACATCTAATATAGATACACGGATTAGCAGTATCTCCGAAGACGTTATATTATGTATAGAGCAAAATCCTTAAGCTATCAAACCTAATTTATTTTCTGACAGACAAAACATATATGTAATACTATAATATTAGTGTGTACAGTAAATAAAAATACTGGATTATAAGAAATTTAGCTAGTTTAGGGAATATATCTCAATTTTGATATAGTTAATTTCTATTTTGAAAGTGGGTAGTTTTATAAAAATTGCTTAGAGAAAGGAACTTGTTTATGTGGAGTCTTTGTAATGATAATTGTGTACAGGAAAAATATTATGATGTTTGAAATTACTAAAGATTTTCTTTATATGAATACAACTTTTATAATATAAAGAAACAGATAATTTACCTGCAGACAAATGGTTTTATGCCCAAATGTCGTCGTATATGAGCTTGTAGGGACGCATTGGAAGTGAATGAGGCCCCGCAAGTTTCACAAACATGTCTGTGAATAAACAAATAATGAAATTAAAATAATAACAAATGAAAAGGAAAAAGACATATTTATAATGTTTATAGCAGAAAAATCTACATTAATATGAACGAAACAAACCTTAAATGAATTAAGATAGTTTCATTGTCAAAATAACTAATATTAAGTATTATCATTTAAAATTAAAAAAATGGTGCGTTAAGTCCCTTTGAGCAGACGAAGTGGAAATAAGTAATGTTGGAATGACAACAGGATGGAATAGAAATAGATTTTTAAGAAATTTTTAATGTTTCAACTACACAAACTTTGCTAAAATTGCTTAGAAGTCTCTTCTCTCTCTGTCTTTTATACCCCCACCTAAAAAAGCGTTAAATATTTAACGCAACCTTGTTGAAAGTCGCATAAGAAGTTTCACTTCAATAATACATGTATATAGTCTGTGATAGTGCAAATCCGAATAACTAGCGTTGGATAATTCCGCGTATCTACATTGGAAGCAGATTATCAGAAGATTAAACTGAAATATTTTCTATATTAACGACTTTTAAGGTAATTTTTTCGCAATAAGTACTAAGTTAAACATTAAATAATTACTAATTGTAATTATCCAATGGTAGTTACACGGATTTGCATTATTCCCGGCGATATTTAGTACTAGCTTTCCGGCCGCAGCTTCGCCCGCGTGGAGATCGGTTATACCACGTTTCCAAGAGAACCTTTCAAAAGTCTGGAATAAAAACTATCCTATGTTCTTTCTCAAGGTCAACTCTGTCTGTACCAAATTTCATTAAAATCAGTTCAGTGGTTTAGGCGTGAAAGCGTAACAGACAGACAGACAAAGTTACTTTCGCATTTATAATATTAGTAGGGATATATACTAACGTTTTCTCATATACATATTTCTTCTTGGGCTGTTGTCGTTTCTTCTTTGGCTTGGGGTTTAATATATGTTCAGGTATGGGCTCCGAGAAGGCCATGATAGTTTCCTTCAACAGAACATCCTCATCATCATCTTTAGGCTTTGGTTGTTCTTGAATAGACTTCCTTGGACGACCACGTTTCTTTGGTACAGGTATCTGGTGATTATATTAAATATATTAATAACATTATTATATGATAAAATTTTGATTATGTTACATTATAAGCCATTTCCATTATTTTTAAGACTTTAACTATATGTCATTATTGCTGAAATGGATGTTTGTAAAATATAACATTTTAATTACCATAAAGATTTAGTAAGGGCATTAATAACAAAATTATTGCAAACAGCTTATATAAATAATTGGTAGTACATATTTGACAATTTCCTCTCAGATATAAACAAATCTTAATGTTTTTAATCACCTTACCAGACTAAAAGGTATATAATTATAATATGTCATATAAGTAATGTACAAGGACAAAATGAAACATAAACTACTGTAAGCAAATTGCAGAACAGTTTAATACCAAAAAATGTAGTATTATCAAAAAAGACCAAATGACATATTGATTTTTTTTTGTAAAATTTCTACATCCCAGAACTAATAATTAACTCACCTCTTCTTTGATATCATGATCAGAATCAGGGTCATCACCGATTGGCACAAAGTCTGGATCATCACCTCCATCCAATTCTTAATAAAAAAAAAAATATCATCACAGATATCTTAACAAGAAAATAATTTAAACATTTATATTGTGCAGAAGTTAAGAATAGCACTTTAAAATATTCTTGTATTTATGTTGTATTTATGTAAAAGAGATTTGGGGGTAAAATTCTTTCTTTAGTGTTACATGTGACATAAAATATAGCAGAGAATAGTCAGGAATAAAATTTTATACAAATTTAAATAACATCATAAATCTACCTATCACTCAAAATTATATATAACTAATGTTTGCCTGTGACTTTATCTACATGAACTTCATAATTGTAAGATATAGTATATTAATGTACATACAATATCTTGTCTATATAAAAAGTTATTACTATCCTACTAATATTATAATTGCGAAAGATTGTGAGAGTGTGTGTGTTTGTTACTTCTTCATGCTCAAACGGCTGAACCGATTTTGATTAAATTTTGTATACAGGAAGCTGACGTTCAGGAATAACATATAGGCTACTTTACATCCCGGAAATCCACGGGTAAAACCGCGGGACGCAGCTATTAGTATATTAATCTAGGTACTATATCTTATCTGTATAAAAAGTTATTAGTATATTATATATAATTATCATATTTTTTTCATACCTTCAGTTTCCAAAGCTTCTTCTTCCTCCGGTTCCTGTTTAAGATCTAAAGACCCCGATGCCAATAAAGTTGTTAATGCTTCAGGCTCTTTCAAGTCGGGTTTCGGTTTCTTCCTCTGATATGGTGAAACATCTAGGAAAATTTTACTCTTAAATAATTGTTTTAAAATAACTTTTTTTTGGCCAGTCATAACATTGCAAAACAAAAATAAGTAATTCAAAAAGAATATATTTCTGTAATATACAGTGAAATAAATAAATAGTTAGTCACCTCTTACTAAAACACATTATGACTTTTAGGCAAAAAATAAGACATTTAAATGAAACTAATACTTCTCTACATACTACACGGTTTAAACAAACTACCTATTCCCGACATTTTAGTTACTTATCAGCAACCGTAATCACAATATAAAATAAATGTTAAAAAAATAAGACAGAAATCTAAGTACAGAAAAAATTATAGCATAATTTTTGCTATACATAACAATAATTTGATAAAACTATCACAGAAAGCAGAATAATGCAAGTTAATAGTATTTTTATGTGAAATATTTCAATTATTTCAACTTACCGATCTGCCCCTGTTCGTTCGGATACTTCCGAGGCCGACCCCTTTTCCTCCGACCGGGTGCTTTAGTAACAACGGCACTATTAGGAGTCTTAATGATCCTCGTCCATTGAACTTGTGGGTCGTGTTCAACTGGTAACTCATATTGTAAGAGCATACCATTCTCTTGTTTGATTGTAATAGTTTCTGTTTCAGTACCTAGAAAGTAGAATTTATTGATGTATTTTTCAATGTTATAATTTGCATTTGCTATGGTCTTTATATATGTTAGGGAGTGTCTAAGTATCGATGATGACGTATTAAGAAAGTTAAAAACGATTCTATTAAAAATGAGTTAGAAAACATGTAAGGTTTGAGAATTTATCATATAAATTGAATGCATTATTTTGAATTCGATTAGTTTTATCTTGTACTTGCGCATGACTGTTCACGTATATGTTATTTTATATTTATGTTCTGAATTTTACCTTCGTCCGGCTTGTTTGCTGACACCGCAGCCGATGTTTTTAAAAATTCATCAAGACACTCTTTTAATGTTTCATTCGACGAGAGACATTGTTGTTTGAATTGGCAGGCGAAGGTTAAACGATCCACGCAATTCAGGCATATTAGCGTCGGCAATGTCTCATTTTTAGTTACCTATATCACAAAATAAAACATTTTATAATCACACAACATTTTCGAATTTCAAGATTTTCTGGGATGACAGCAAAAAATCACAAATCACAAAATTTCTACAAATAAAACAATATAGCAACATTATTGTATGAAAAAATTATAGGGTGGCCATCGCAACCATTTGCAGTAGTTATTTTTCGTACCTCCACGCCGCAACAGTAGGTATATTTATCACCGAGTTGTTCATTATTTTCATCCCAATCGAAAAGGGAAACCATATCTCCAGTTTCTAAGCATACACGGCACGTTAATTGCCAATCCATTTTTCACATAAAAATCGTACCAGTATTGGGGAAATAAGTTCATAACTCAACAAAATTAACCATTTAGTATAGCCGGAAGCTAGAGAAAAAACGATACGTCAAGTGTTATTACCAACGTGACAGAATAGAGCGTCTCTTGCGTTCCATTCCCCAATATTTTTTCCATCCAAAAACCGTACTTTAAATTCACGTCATAAAAGCACATTACAAATATAGAATAAGTTGAAATATCACTTTTTACAACTTTAAATATAAACATACTGTAATTATAGTGTTCACATTAAATGTGTAATGATTATGTAAAAAATAAACTGCGTGATATGAAACACGAATAATGAAACTTTTGCATATGCCAATCAACATGTCCGCCCCTCCCCCATACAATGTATCTCTGAAAAACGTCAAATTGCAATCAAATTACAATAACAATAAACACGATGATATTTAATTCGAAGGATGTGTGTGAGTGTTAAAAATTAAAAAAATGGAATTGTTTCGATCTGAATCCTATTTCATATTTGTGAGGAACGAGTCAAGTCTTTGGTGGAATCGACTAACGGGAGCCTTTTCAGTCCGATCAGGTAAGATAAATTAATTTTCTTTTGTGTGTATTCAAAAATAATTGAATTACTTAAAAAAATCAATCTTAGTTTTTTCTTAATAGACTTTAATTTATAATAAAAATTTTAGCATGGGATCTTTCCGATATCGAGGACATAGAATGCTTAGGTATTACAGAAGGTATTATCGGAAAAGTGGAACATTCAAATATATACGAGCCTCGTTTAATGATTATAAAAGAAAGCGTACCTATGGGTCAGATATATTTTCACCACACGATATACAAGATCAAATCGATATGCTTTTTGAATATGGGTGTGAATAATCAGGAACTCGAGCTTTCTCCATGTACGAAACACGGATCGTCCACACTCTTGGAGAATGCGAGATCAAGCAGTAAGAAAATGGGTGCTCGTTTGTTTGAAAATTCCGCCTTTCTAAATAAAACTGTAGGTGCCGTTAAAAATGTAAGCAATACAATTAAAACCACAACACAGCAAGCCGCTACTCAGGTAAAATTATCGAAAAGTATATATTTTTAATAAATCACAATACTTAATATAGTTATCATAACAAAGTTCATACAATCATATTATCCACTCACGAAATTATATGCTACACAGGTAAAACAAACGGTGAAGAAGCAGCGTGATCCAAAACTAGCTGAACGTTTTGAGAAACGGCTTACAGATGAGTTATATAAGATATTTGATGACTCAGACAGTTTCTACTATTCAAGAACATTAGATCTAACTAACAGTCTACAAAGACAATATGAAATTGAGAAAATCTTGGAAACCGAAGAAGGAAATGGGAAACCGATCACCGATATTACAAGATGGTGGAAATATGTTGACGATAGATTCTTCTGGAACAAACATATGCTCAAAGATATTATCGCTTTGGAGGTACACATGAAAATCAATACATACATGATTATCTGCTAAAAATAACTATTTCAATAAAACTTGCTCTTCAAATAGCTTGCAAATGAAACCCAAATTGATTAAAGAATATGTCTTTTTCCTATTTTAACTAATTCATTATACTTAGTAGAGTCAAAATAAATTAATATTTAGTCATTATTGTCATAAAATTATACAGCAAGTTACTATTGAATGAAAACTGATAAAATTAGTGTCGTTTGAGTAAAGGTTAATATAATTATCATCCATTAATCTTCACCAGAGTCCTAGCTGTGATGAATGGGTTCTGCCGATCATACAAGGTTATGTACATCTATCACAAATAGCGGTTGAGCCTCCCGATGCAAATCCGTTGAATACCGAATCATTGTCAAGTACGAATACATGCGATGAAACATTCACACTAGGTCTTATATCACGAAGATCTCGATATCAGGCTGGGACTCGGTAAGTGGCTATTTTATATATATATATTATATATAATTCTTCTGTGAGTGTGTGTCATTGAACTTCTCTCAAACAACTGGACCGATTTTGATGATTTTTTGTGTGTGTTCAAGGGGATCTGGGAATGGTTTAGTTTTAATTTATTGGTAGTTGTTGATACAAACTTTTTTTGACATTAGATTTGACAAGTAACTAATATGTCAATCGTTCTGTGGCATTTCAAAACACGGAGATTTATGGCTTTAATAAGTAAACTCCAAAAATATAAATAAAAAAACATAACAGATATTTCTTGATTATAGGGCGATACGAAGTTCGCCGGGTCTTCTGGTATATATATGTGTGTTTGTATATGTGTGTAATTTATGTCATTAAAGGTACAATCGTCGAGGTATAGAGCCAGGTGGAAGAGTTGCAAACTATGTTGAAACTGAACAGATTGTATCCATTGTGTGCTCGGATAGCATACATAGAGCATCATTTGTACAGGTATGTATTATATATAAGGTTCATATATATATTTACTTATACATTCATTTAAACGAACTCATAGCATAAATTTTGCTTATCTTGTTTTAAATGAAACAACTAGTTTTATTATGAAATTTGATATTCATCTGATAACATATAATTCTATATAGTCTTTGTTTGTAAAACTAAATATAAGCAGTTGCTAGTTTTTGACTTATTAAGGTAATATAAGAATATAAATTAATTATTAATTAAAATAAAAGGTCTTAATAAAATATAATAATTCAAAATTATGTAATTGAAATATTTTTCCGTATTAACATGTGGAAAAGTTAAATATGTGTTGTTAATTGTTATCACATTTTATAACATTTTCCTCATTAGTAACAATCGTTGTACTTATAATAAGATTAATATATACAGGGTGACTGGTGAATTACTATCAATATTTAAGGAGCATACTCGGTACATGATTCTCATTCGAATTATGTAAAAAAAATAGGTACTTAATTTTTGACCAAATTTACGTATAAATAAATAAAGTGTGTACACGTTCCAAGTGTTCCAAGTGTGGACGCGTGCGGCGGCGTGCTGATGCAACAATTCGCCGCCGCGCGCGATTGTGTGTGTGTGTGTGTATACCTAATCTGTAGGGTGTTCATACGATGCGTAATTAATTACATAACTTTTGGTTAACTTTACTTAGAAGTTTATTAATATTTATGTTATATTAATTTTTATTTTGTCATATATGATCGTCAAATATCACGTCCTCAAATATCGATAGTAATTCATCAGTCACCCTCTATATGCGTGGGTTGTGCGAATATGGTATTAACACCCACCTATAGAAGCGTCAAGCAGGCTTATCTAAACTATATATATATTGAACTGTTTTTTTATTCGTTTTTCAAATTATATTCCTAATTTAAATTATTCCTATTCCTTTTTCGCGTTCGATTTCATTTTTTTTATTATTTTTTTCCGGTCAGTTTGTTTTATTACGTTCTTAATTCAAAAGATAATTATATAATTAATTCTAATTGGTGTATTCCGTTCTTTATTTGAATTGTAGCTCAATATTCAAGGTCACGCGTGCACAATACTATACGCTCTGGTTAGAAATTTAATTCCAAAATTGAAATTTTAACTTTCTATGATACTTTCGTTTTTCTTTTCTTTAAATTAAATTCTATTTTTGAAATTGATGATTAACTAATCATATAAATAAAAAATGTTCTCTAATTCCTTGAAATAGCATACAATTTTAATTAAGCAATTTTAATGTTCATTATAGAAAAATAAAGGTATCTCATGTTATGTTATAAATATAACATTTTTAGTTCATACATTGACCTGAATTCGTATCTAGCACAAGTTTTATTGAAGCAAATTGTTTTATACTTTAATATATATATGTATATATAATATTGTTTGTAGGTCCGTGGATCTGTGCCAATATACTGGAGCCAGCCTGACTACAAGTTTAGACCTCCGCCGAGGCTTGACAGAAGTATGTATTGTGTTCCACCTACTTTTTAAGGCCTATTCTTTTTAAATGTTGACAGTTATTTTGAATATTCTCTTTGTGACAGTCCATTTTAAAAATGGAACGTTTTCGTTTTTTTGTGTATGATTCTATAGAGCCAGGTTTAATGATATTTTTAATTTCTTAAATAAAGATCAATAAAAAATTTAAATAAAAGAAAATGTCAAACATAAGATCTGAAGTAGCTGAAACCATAAATGTTAATTTGAAATTATATACATAAACTTTTATTTTGAATTCAAGAAAGTCCTTTATTTTAATTTTACAAATATCGTTTTTTCATATTTTTTTTACGATATATGGATCTATAGTTCTTTCATCAAAAAACTTAAAGGGTTTTTATGGAATAGTACTATAGTTGAGACATCTTAATAATACAATGGTAAAAATTCTAAAAGTTGGCCTCTTCTTTCGGATAAGACGATTAAATAATCAGAATGCATAATTTACCAAACCGAGTCAGTACACGATTGGTTAATTGATGAAGCAACTCAAATGAGATATTCCAGAGGTAGAAAGTTCGAATCCTACTTTTGACTATAATTTTTTCATTGTATATTTTCTAATTTTTTTTTTCAAACTCTATGTAGTTTCTATGGAATCATACATTATACACTATATATATTGGCTAAACACTATACGTTTTCCTCTGAGCCCAATGCAGAAATCACAAAGACGAACTCGCAGGCAAAAACTAGTATACATAAAAATGTATTTTGCCTGAAACTACACATTTTATCGATATTTCTGTAAGAGTATACTCTCGTACTATTTATATTCAAGATTCCCTCTTCACGTTTTCAGGGTCAAGATAGCAATCCAATTTATGACATATTTTAATGACTTTTCACATTACTTGGCAATTAAATTTTCTTTTTAATAAGTTATTTTAATAGTTACATATATTGAGGTTTTATAATATCATTTTTCATAATTTTTTTTATTAAATATCTATCATTTAATCCGTCTTAATTTTCTATTTATATAATTTTCCTTATATTCTGTGTTTTTCATCGGGATACTACAACGATGAAGTAGTTCCATCTAGTGGCTGTTCTAAATAAACTCCGATGATGACGTCATCAATATCATATTAAATTTTCCTCTACAGCCGAAGAAGAATCCCACCAGGCGTTTAAGAAGCATTTCGAAGAAGAACTAAAGCTTTATAAGCAGATATGTATAGTGAATTTGGTTGAACAGCAAGGTAGAGAACGCATTATATGGGAGGCATATAGCAACCATGTACTGAAATACAACAGCCCTAACATAATATACGCTACCTTCGATTTCCATGAGTACTGGTAAGAAAAATTACAGATCTAATTGCCAAAATTGCTATAATTTAACTCAATTTCAGTCCAATTTCATTTTATGAATTTAAATCCCTATAGAATTCTAGGAAAAACGATGGAAATCTTGCCAATAGAATCGTAATATGTTACTGTATGTGAAGATAAAGCTTGCAAAAAGAATTAAATCGTTATTGGTTGAGCAGTTTCAGAGTTATGACGTCATAATCTCTGACGGAATTTAGGACGAAAATTTATAATCACCAAAAATACTTAAGTGTTCTTAATATGTATACGAAATATTAAAACTTAATATAGATCCTAGCAAATATTCTCTAAAATAATTTAAAACACAACCTATTAAAAGAGAATGTGTGGTCTATATCCGCAATAGTGTCCAACGCTTCTCTATCGATGAAAATTAATTATCGATATAACATTTTCAGCCGTGGCATGCACTATGAGAACGTCAGCATATTAATAAACGCTATATCTGATATAATCGGCGATATGCGGTTCTGTTGGCGTGATGACCGAGGGCTCATCTGCACACAGACCGGCGTGTTTCGAGTCAACTGTATAGACTGTCTCGATCGAACCAACGTTGTACAGGTACTGTTAGACTTATGTTATGATATTGTTCCATTTTTAAAAATCAAAATATGTTGTTTTTCGGCAGTGTTCCATTTTTAAAATTCGAATTCATTCACTTCCCTGGTAATCGGTCCCAGCATACCTACTCCTCTACCATTTTTCAGATTATGTTCAATTTTCAAATTTCTGAATATATTTGTAGTTCGACAATGTTCCATTTTTAAAATTCAAATTCGTTTCCTTCGTCCACCTCATGCTCCCCTAGTAATCAGTCCCAGCACACTACTCTACTGACTATTTTCTGTTCCATTTTCAAATTTTTGATTGCTTAGTAAGTCAATTACGTTCCATTTTCGAATTACAGACTACTTTAAACTTCAATAGTGTTCCATTTTTAAAATTCAAATTCATTTACTTCATCTGTATCATGCTTCCCTGGTAATCGGTTTCAACATGGAATTCCTTCTTAATTTTTTCCATTGGTAGTTTTTATTTTGTATAAGATTTATTTATTTTCCTAAATTGAAAATATTTCATTCTTTTAACAATTCTTCTTGACTGATGAACTTGTCATGATTCTTTTACTTAATTGATTATTCCACTTTACCCTAGCACAATCTTAACTACACAAATCCAATTTTTTTTATTAAGTTTACTTTTTAAGCAATCTATCTATAAAATATAACATTCATACTATATAATACTAGCTGGGCCCTGCGGTTTTACCCGCGGATTTACGGGTTATAAAGTAGCCTATGTGTTATTCCTGGACGTCAGCTTCCTGTATACAAAATTTTATCAAATTCAGTCCAGCCGTTTGAGCTACACGCTCATAAACTTTCGCTATTATAATATTAGTAAGATATATCATTGAATATTAATAACTATTATATCCTTATTTATGTTTTTTCTTCAGACAGCGATAGCCAAATATGTGTTGGAGCTACAACTATGTAGGCTAGGCCTTGGAGCCCCGGGCTGCGGTCTACCGACGGGGCTCCGACAAGCGTTTCTAGCTATGTGGGCTGATAGTGGGGATCTTGTGTCAAGACAATACGCTGGGACGAAAGCTCTTAAGGTATATTATAAAGAAATGAAGGTTTTTTATTGATTGAATTGGATTATATATCATCAATTAATCCTTGGAACGTAGTTTGTAGGCAGCTTTAGTAGGTTCTTTGCAAATTTATCTTGGAACGTACTTTGAAGACACTAGTAGGTTCTTTTCAAATTTGGTTAGGTAGAGAGAGGAGCTTGGACTATGGTGAGTGTTTAACGCGTTAGATAGTTACTTAAACCTACACCTGGGTCACAAGTCCCAGTCACTGTTGAAGCTCCTCTCTACAACGATAGACACGACACACGCATATGAATACATTGAGTGAGAAGAGGTTTCGTCTCATGAAAATTTAACAAAAAATATTTTTATAGAAGTCAAAACCTGGACTAGTATAATATAGTATTAGTTGTTAATATAAGTGTACCTATGTGAAATTTTTATTGTAGGGTGATTATACTCGCACGGGAGAGAGGAAGTTAACTGGGATGATGAAAGATGGCGTCGCATCCGCTAACAGGTGAATAATTGTCAATAATTATAAGTCTAATTATTATGGTTAATTATATACAGCTGAATGACTAAATAGACGGAAAATCGTGTGAATTTTTTATACTTTTTTTGTTTCAATAAATCAAAATATATATTTAGGATTCTAGCAAAATCCTTATAAAAATATAGTTTTCTTATAAATTCAGTACTTTTAAATAACTAATAAAAGCTTTATAACAAGAACAAACTAATTATTATCTTCAACCCAAACACCTTAAGTTAAATACTCTTTACAAAAACTTAATTCGCGTCAACCAAATACTTTCCCGCGTAAAATTGTCAAACCAAATGTCAATGTTATCGCTTTATTACAACTTCGGGTGCGTTCAGGAATTTAAAAGTTCGGTTCAAATTAAATATATATTCCCTAAATATATATATTTTCTTCCAGATATTATCTATCTACATTCAAAGACGCCCTCCGTCAAGTGGCCATAGATGTGATGACAGGAGAATCTAAAACTATACCTGAACAACTCATTGTACCCGACTGCACTCCGTGTACATCCGTCAAGGTTCTTATGTTTAATGTGCGTGCATGACAAGCTTTATATATATTAAACTAGCTTTCCGCCCGCAACTTTGCCCGCGTGGAGTTCGTTTTTATCGCGTTTCCAAGAGAACCTTTCAAAAGTCTGTGATAAAAACTATCCTATGTTCTTTCTCAAGCTCAACTCTATGTCTGTACCAAATTTCATTAAAATCAGTTCAGTGGTTTAGGCGTGAAAGCGTAACAGACAGACAGAGTTACTTTCGCATTTATAATGTTAGTAAGGATATAGTAATACATACATATTAAAGTATATAAAAGTATATAAGGTGTAGTATAAGTCAATTGTACCATTTAAGTCACTTGTACTCTATAAATCATACAATTAGATCCAGAAAAACTAACCATTTAATATAGAAAATAAATATTCTATATAAGTAGCATTTTCAACACCCTGAATTCATTATCATATAACCATAAGGTCAATGAACTTAGACTAGGTTGGTGTGAATATTTTTTCTCAGCTTGCTTTTTTAATAAACTTTAAATATATGTATTGAGTATAATGTCATTTCTCATAAACAAGAATATGCAAGTGCATAAACTCAGGTCGTTGACACTCAATTTTGGTACATTTGACCCCTGATAGGGAATAGTTAATATGCATGCATGATAGATTTATATGTTAATCATTTTAAGTATGATACACAAATTAATATTTACTAGATAAGTAATATATGTAAGTCCAATGTACCTTATAATTCAAATGTACCTTACCATTTTCTATAATCCACTTGAGTGGTCATGTCTTATATACTTATATGTTTATATCTTTTATATGCTACACATATAAAAGAAAGTCGTGTTAATCATAATTCAAGAACGACTGTAGGGATATATTTAAAATTGGTGGATAGATAGCTTAGAACCAGGAGACTTACATAGGATATTTAATTCTGTTCGATCGAAACAGAAAAACTTAATAAATTATAAAATCTGGTTATTTACAGAATCTAGGGCGGAATAGAGTGCTCGTGGTCAGCTATACATACATTATTAAGTCCGAATTTAACGTTGGCGAATTCGCGGGAAAAAACTAGTATTATATAATTTATCATTTATGTATGTGTTTGCTATACAATAAGTATTAATATATATGTTTATATAATATATATATTTAATTTAATTTGATTTAATTTAATCATGTTTACTTTTTTTCGTATCTTTGTTCCGCTAAATAATTCGTGCATCATGTGTTCTCCTGTAAATAATTGTGACACTTAGTTTTAAGATTTACTCATTGAAAATTGTATTTATTTAGTGTACACATTGTTGGAGAACCAAATAAATAAATATATATGTTATTTCAGGACCAATCAGTACCAGATACCGCAGCTATGGCCCAGCATGTAAAAAGTCTAATAGATGACTGTAAGAAGCTCTTAGTTGATACGGAACCAGTGCTCGGCTCTTGGGGGCTCATAGATGCTGACCCACAGTATGATATATACATATATTATATATACTAGCTTTCCGCCCGCAGCTTCGCCCGCGTGGAGTTCGGTTATATCGCGTTTCCAAGAGAACCTTCCAAACGTCTGGGATAAAAACTATCATATGTTCTTTCTCAAGATCAACTCTATGTCTGTACAAAATTTAATTAAAATCAGTTCAGTGGTTTAGTCGTGAAAGCGTAACAGACAGACAGAGTTACTTTCGCATTTATAATATTAGTAGAAATTAACTTAACATATGTTTGTATGATATGAAATATGGATAACTTATAGTATGTCAGTTTGTAATCTTCACATATAGTATCAACATAGGTATAAATGCTGTGTATTTCGTTTCATACTGAAAAAGTTTTGGACAGGTCAGATTTTTTTGTCGGCATAATTATTTAATATATAAGAAAGAAGTTCTATAAGAATATTATATCCTACTCAAATATTTAATTCAACACTAGATAAGATAGGAGAATTTTGAAGTAATTATTTATTAGAATATTTCTTAATATATATATATTTGAATTCCAGTACCGGAGATCCTCAGGAAACGGAAATGGATAGCGTCCTAGTGTTGACTGGTGAGGCGTATTACGTCACGGATTATGACGAAACATCCGACAGACTGTTGTCTGTACAGAGGGTGCCTTTGAAGGATGTTACGTCTATAGAACTTGGGACTTTGGACTCTAGTGCTACGGTAATAAGACATACTGTAGGATTATGATTAAATAGGCGATATTTATGCGAATATAATTATATTTAAACCAGACAAAGATATTACAATGATATTCAGGCGAACGCGTGTTGACAGCTGAACTGAATAAATCGTTTGTACATATTATATGCCGGGTGACACTACTCACGAACTTCGTACTATCTCAACACAAACATACACACACACGCACCCACAGAGAGAGACATACACACACATACACATGTATATTACATCTTATTATGTATTTATAAATAGAATTTCATCGTATAAGTGGAATACAAAATTAATTTATATATATAATTACCTAGATTTAAGCGTCATTTATTTTTAATAATGAAATCAAATTTAAGTATATTATTTTTCTATTATAAACTATCTATGCTCGGTAATTGGAATTATGCAGAATGTTTTTAAATATTATTATTATTAACATTAATAAACATCCTCAAAATAATCAAGTTCGTGAAAAACGGTGCTGCCCGTCTCAAAGAATAACCAAAACAGATGAACAAAAACTTAAATGTTTTCGCTGAATATCGTCTATTGAAATATTAAAACTAGATACTATAAATTTATTATATATATTTCTGTTATTCGAAAACCACCTCTAATACATAACAATACGTTCGTTTCCAGATCTTCAGCGTGGCTCGTAAGAGTAACACGGAGCCGGTACACTGTATACGTATCAACTATATGTATAACAACGAACCCGGGTACTTCCATATGTTCAGATCTACGTCGCTCAGGTTCTTTAATAATATGGCTGTGGCTATTAATACTAAGGACGAGATGATAGGTATGGCTAATGTAGTTATAAACACACACACATATATAACCAGCTTAAAAGCTATTTATTATAGTACACAGATATACAAAGCTATATCATCGGGGATAGTGCAAATCCGCGTGACTCCTCCACGAAACTAATTATTTAGTGTTTATTCATTACTACTTGAAAAAAAAAACCTTAAAAGTCGTTAATTTAGAAAATATTTCAATTAAATAATTATCCAATGCTTGTTACGCCAATTTGCATTATCCCCTACGATATGTTTTTTTTTTATTTAAGTGCCAGTACCTAATAAAAATTTATATATATAACACATTTAATATATTATAAATTAATTAATTCCACAGAATCCCTTCACTCTATATGTGAATCATTAGTAGTAGCGAGAGATGTGGCTAAGTTGACACCCGTACCTTTCCACGATGGAGTCAAATTGGAAAGGAAAAAGTCAAAGGTAACATAAACATATAACACTACTAGAAGACCCGGCGAACTTCGTATCGCCCTATAATCAAGAAATTTAGGCTATACCTTAGCCTGCCTCAGACACACGTGGTGGTTATGCTTTTATTAAATAGTCGTTTGTACTTTTAACATAGCGCCATCTATTGAATACTCAACTCAGTCAACAGATAATTGTAATAATGATAAATAATTTTCTTCAAATAATTTGCAATAAAATAATATTGTGACTATAAATTGAGATGTACGCTATCCTATCTTTCAAGTTGGATCAAAATGTACACGGAATGCAAACCAAATTTAAAATCGGTTTAGTAGTTTAGGAGTCCATCGCGAAAAAAACACGTGACACAAAATTTTTATACATATAAAGATATTACTTTGGAAAAATAGGGTAAAAAATGTAATTAGTTACTAAGAAATATCTTTTTATTATCCATTATTATATAAATGGAATTATTAGTGTGTTATACTGCTGTTGAAAATTTTACCGTCCTGAAGATTTGTATATCTATTACAGTATCACTCAAGAACCACTAAAATGTATTTTAATGACAGTGTAGATCGTAACAATATCTTATTTTGATTATTTTTAATTTGGAGTTAGATAATATAGATTTAATAATTATAAACACAAGTGGGATATGAATCTAGGACCTCTGAAAAATCGTGTTTTAGTTACTTTATTAACAAAGCTGTAAGACTATCCCATGTATATACTTAAACATATAATTTAAATTTAATTTTAAACTCATAATAACAACGTTAGAAATATAACACACTATTTTCTGATAATTTTATATATAAAAATCTTTATTAATATCTTTGTATGTATGTTATATGTTACAGATACATCCAACACAAGGTTCTTCGGGAGCTAAATCTTCTTTATACTTGGATCTATCAAGGCTACCAACACTCACGAGGAATGTCAGCGAAACACAGTTAGTAGCAGATATAAGGAGTGTTGGTAAGATATATATAATATATACATAATATATAATAATATATATATTAACGTGAAGACGACATATTGAAGTAAATACATAACTGTCAAAATGATATTGTAATCATATAATCGATTCCTGCACTAATACAATCAAATTATATGGCAATTCAAAAAAATTACCTACTCTGTATTGCCAGGCGAAAAAATTACAATTTTATTTATAAAATATTTTTGAATAGACTTTTCTTGAAATTATAATCATGTTATATGTTTAATAATATTAATTATATATGAATAATATATTATTATGCGTTAGTACCTTGTACGTCGTTAACGCGCTCCTTGCTAAGACAAATAGTTGATATGGAGCCTTGTACGAGATGTGTGTTTTTACCGGCAACGAGATCTAATGTTAGTTGAAATAATATCATCATTAAATAAATATTAAAATTAATTATTACTTTCATGTAAGTTTTATAGTAAAGCATTATTAGTTAGCAATTTGATATATAATTAAATATAACAATTAATATGTGGACACGGAATTGTAATGTCGATTGTCTAATATTTGTATTGAAATAGTTTTTATATTGTTATTTTATTAGTTATATTTGCGTAATTATTGCTGCCAAGTGTTGCCATTTAGGAAAATTTGTTGACATATATTTAGATGTCATGGATTTATTATATCATCATTATGTAATTTGATAGTAGAAAATTATTATATCTTATATATATATTTTTTAATCACAGGATCAAAAGCCCTAAACAATATGTCGGAGCAATTCAGCAAGTTAAACAAACTGAGTCACTCACTGAACGCTAGAGCTAGACCTACATTACAACTAAAATTCGATCAAGGGACTTCCAAGACTAAGAAAATATTCACATTAGGGCAGAAGAGTGATGGCAAGAAGAAAGGAAGTTTATCAGATGGCGCTAGTTCAGATTATTCCTCAGAAGACGAGGCTAGAACCAATATATTTGAACCAACGCTAGATAACTTCGAACATTTACAACATTACATCGGCGATCAAGAAAGAAAACACGATAATGATTGCGATCTAATCGAAAATCCATTATATTCATCAAAAATTGAAACAAACGATGAAATTGATACCACAATTCCCGATATCAAAACCAATATACCGAAAACGCCAAGCAATAAGATAAATCCGTTCAATAATGAAATCACACCGGAAATACAAGTAGATTCTAAACCTGTACCGCCAAATTCACTGCTTTTGAACCAAAAATTATCACAGAGCTCAAGTTATCTAAATTTTGAACCTACAGTCAACTACGTAAGGTCGAATTCACAACACGAGATAACTTTAAACATAGCGCAATCACATAGTGAATCTGCTTTAAGGCAGTTAAAGAATATAACAAGTCCGGTCTCAACTGCTACCAAAGAAATACTCTCGCCTTTATCAAAACTAGCTAAGGGCGTGCAAACATTAGGAGCTAACTTAGATCCGAGGAAAATAAAGGTATTTACTATTTTATATAATAATTATTATAATCCCACAAATTTGTTGCATGTCATAGAAAAGCCAGCATATAAGGAAATAATTTTAGTAATAGAAATTCCAACTTTTATAAATCACTGCATTAAAAACTATACTTGACTAAATATTTGTTGATCTTTCACTTCAAAAATACTGGACGGATTTTCAATAAACTTTACAGTTATAGTTACATATAGCTCAGATATGAGAATAAGACGAAGCCTAATTTATCCTGGAATTTTATATAGCTATGGTTACACAACAATACAGTTGTATTGTGTATAATATCATATGACTACATAATACTTGACAAACTATACATATAATACACGAAACAAACGCTTCAAAACTATATGCATTGAAATAAAACTGTTACTTACAAGATACCAAAGTCTTATAAATTGATTTACACTCAAAATCGTCCTAAATAATATATGTAATTCTAATATTTAATTGATAATTCTTTATACAATAGTAAATAATCATACAAGCTTATTATATAAACGCTATTTATTCTATATATATTTTAATATAAGTAATTTATATTTTTCAGGCTCCGGCATCAGTGAAGCATATATCAGAACAACAATATGAAGAACATAAGAAATTACAAGAGAAATGGCAAGACAGTAACACACGTCTTATCGCACTGTAAACAAAACAGATATATAGACAAAAAACTATAAAAATATTCAATTTATAATGTGCTAGAAATGCCTCAAAGATTTCAACGGTAAAAAGAAATTTTAAAACACGAAAAAGCGATTTCTAACAAGCAAAAATCATAAAAACTTAATTGTTACAAATATTCATACATAATATTCGCTAGCAAAATATATAACTCCATTTTAGTTTTGGCTTAATTTATTGCTTAGGAAATATTATCGTAGAATGTTATAAATTAGGTAATGACGTTTAATAGAAATTTAATTATAGTTATATTAGTTATTTTTAGTAGAGTATGGTTAGTTATTTTGACATTTTAAACAGTTACCACACGTACAAAGCGGAAATATAATACTTGCCAGTTACAAAAAATATATGCCAAATTATTAAATAATAATTAATTGGATTAATTTATTTCTAATGAACAGTATTATTGTTTGTTTGTTCGTAAGTAACGCCAGGGTTCATGATTTAGACAATACTTTATTTGCTTTTTAGCAAAACATTCCATAGGCTAATTAGTTTTAGATAAATTCTATCCATTTTTCTCGTAAGAATTTTATGCTTAAGCCCCTTTTGTGATACATTTGTTACCCGTTTACAGAGCACTTGATAGACTTATTAAAATAATAAAAACACACTAACTAGAATACTGACTATAGAAAATCACATGTTTATAATCACAAAACAAAAAAAAATACAAATATATATATGAAAATCTCTATTATATTCATAAATATATCATTGCAACGAAATTACCAGCCACATAATTATGAAATTTCAATATATATATGATATAAATACTGAACCAAAAGTCAGATATTCAAATAGTTAGAAATCATATATGTATTACCAAATTACCGTCAATTAATCATTAAATACTCCAATAATCAACCCAGTTCTTATAAAACTTTATATATATATACATACATATATATATATAGCATAGATTTAACGTGATTGTGGCTTATTAGCTTGTTTTGATGTATTAGAAATAAATATTGTAGTTTAATTACCTCATAGAGTAGCAATAATACAGTATTAAACGAATACATAAAATAACTTCAGTTATTCTGACATCACTTTGATATAATTGTTTTAATAGAATTTTTGCACATTTTAAAAACTATATAAAGCTTATAAAATGTATATCTTTGATCCGTGTATTTTGTGTACTTAAATTGATAAAACAGTATTGAATTTTATTAAATATTTAACACATATAGATAATATTATTGTAAATTAACAGCTTTTTAAATATATAATTATTTATTATAATATTCATGCTTGTAAATTATATTAATTTATATTTATTGACCTAATGACTTATTCTATAGCATATGATTTGTGAAATTTGACATTTATTTCAAAACAGTTTTTTATGTTCTTAATTAGATGACAAATTAATTTGACTAACTTCAACTATATTGTATATACTTTGTATCTAAATAATTTCTGATCGATTCTAAAACAGTACAAAATGTGTTAATTTGTGTCACAAGTTATTGTTTTAAAATGTAAGTCTGTGGAACAATGTATCGTTTAGAATGTTGAATTTAGCAAGTTGTAATCTCGTTTGATAGTATAGTCAATTGTAATAGTTAAAACAATATGTAATGGCGTTTGTAGAGGATTGGGGCCCTTAGTTTTTTTTTTTTATATTTCATAAACCCATAAATCTTTAGATAAATTACTAAAGTTTTGTCTATGATTCTTAAAAAATATATATCATTGAAAGAAATGTTGATTGTCTATGCTAAGGGTACCTTTCAAAGAATGTTAATAGCGATGAGCTTTTTTTCATTTGTCTGTGATTATTATTGATGTATCGACTTTTTGTTTTTTTAATATTTATTGAATTATTACGTAATTAAATTGCTTTACTTGATGCTTGTTTTTATTATTATGTAAAAAACCTTTTCATTCCTCATACTCGGAAAGTAGTGTTGTTTTTATCTAATTATAGAGCGGAAAATGCTTTTTCCCTCCCTAGGGCGGGAAAGACTCATACGAGTTACTTTCCACCCAATGGCCGGAATAAATTTCAAAATTACAAGTAAACATTTTAAAAAAAATGCTGACGCCATGCAAGTTTCTAAACAGCCTGTTTGAACTTACTTAGCGCAACTAGTAGATATTGTATTCTCTTTGGCGCGAACTTCTTTGAGGGGAATAAGCAGCAACAAATACGCGGTGAATTCCATATTCAAAATTATTATACATATATTATCAATCAATAACTAGTTCAGATAAACTACTGGTTTTATTTTCCATATTTATTCGAAATGAATATTAGAGTACCTCGTGGAAAAGAATCAATTCCAACTCGAACCATTGCCTCGCGAGTTGATTCTTTCTACCCTTGGTGACCAATCTACTATTCCCTCTTGTTTGTCTGTCAAGGCTGTTTGTTGTGTACCGTAATAGATAGTCGAAATTTTTCAGATGTTCCTGTATTATAAATATAATTAATATTTAAACAGTCTCCGATACATTAAACTCATTCCTTTTTTTTAATTTTTTGAAATTCTCCGTCGGTGTCCTTTAAACCAGATCTTTTATAATTGTTTGCTGAAAATGTACCAACTTGAATAAATGTAATTTTTTACCAAACCGAGCGATTGTCAAAATATTTGTTTCTAGTCCATCTAATCTTACTATATTAAAGTTATTTATTTAATAAAGGTAATACGGGAATGTAGGTGCAGAATAAATAAATATTAAAAAGTAATAATGGGATTGTAGTACAATAACATTTGACGTCAATTTTGTCTCTGATCTTTATCCGTATTATTTTTTTATTCAAAGGGAAGTAGGTATGAAATAAATAAATATATTACAATAAAATGTTTTACGGATTATCATCAATCTAAGTTTTTATTTACAAATTTTTAAAGCAGCTAAATATCTAGTATCTACACAATATAACTTCAAAAAAAATCTTGTAAATGTCAAACTTCATAATAAATAATAATAAATAAATATCGGAACATTGAACTCAAAGGTGTAAATAAAGTTTTGTAATATATGCTTATTATTTAATAAAAATAATATAGCATTCATAGTAAATATAATGAAAAAATAGTGATTTCTTATTGACTTATTATAGAAGATTGCATTAGATGTTGTCAAAATGAAATGCCATTACTTCTTGTAATACATGTCTGCCTAAGAATCGCCTGAAACTAAGATATTTCAGATTCAGGCTTCTCAAATATTTCATAACAAGGATATTCGCTCAAAACTGTATATCATTATAGAATTATAATATTGTCTGTTATAAAAAAAAACATCGAACATGGTAACTTCTTATTATATTATGAAAATCAACAAATCACGTAAAAATGTGGAAGTCGACGAATACTTTGATAATTTAAATAAAGATAGCAATATAGTTAACATATACGAGCGATTTAAGAGTCAACAAACCTGCAGAGTTTGTTTAAAAGAAGGTTCGCAGCCAATCTTCGGGAATGAAGACACTCCCGATATTATTGAAGCTTTAAGTATATTCGGCAATGTTGAAGTCAACAAACGTGACGAATACCCAAATAAACTGTGTAAAATATGTTTTAAATTCATTAAAGGCGCAATTTTATTCAGAAAACTCGCAAAACACACCAATGAGTTACTGAAACAACCTTTGAAAGCCGAACCTGAAAATCAAGATGTTCCAGACACATCAAATGTTGATGAAGATGTCCATAGTTTAAATCACAAAAAGGAAATTATTATACCAAAACTAGAAAAAGAAAAGAAAAATCTAAAAGTTCAATGTTATGTATGCAATAGGATAGTTAATAAGTCTTATTATAAAGAACATATGACTATGCATGATCCTGATCATAAGAAATATGTGTGTGATATCTGTGGAAAATCATTTAGATTACGATGTGCATACCACAACCACAGTCTCAGGCACCGGAACGACTTCCCTTTCAAATGCCAATTCTGTCCATACAAAGGCAGATATGCCGAACTCTTAAAAACACACATGCACACACATACAAAAGACTATAGATATATGTGTACAGAGTGCCCGGCGAGATTTTTATTTAAAAGCAACCTTAATAGTCATATATTACTCAAACATAAGGAACCACAGTTTAAATGTGACGCTTGCAAGCGGGCATTTCATACAAAGTTAACACTTCGGAGACATTTTGAGGCTGATCATTTAGGTATACGAAATCATGTATGCAATATATGTGGAAAGGCATTTGGTTATAGAAATGCTATGATGAAACACCAGCGTCATGTTCATAAGAGGGAAAAATTCATGTACTCACGCATGCCGGCATATTTACAGGCGGAAAATAAAAAAAACAATACTGCTTAAAATGTTATGGATTTAGAAATATGTTAGCAAATGTATGTAACTAGTCATAGCTAAGATAGATAATATTACTATATTCAATTTATTGCTTAAATTAAGATATTTGATCCTGAAATATAACAGATATGATTTGTCATAAATTGTTTTATTTAATTTTCAATACAAGAGACACAAAACTTCTTAGCATTCCATGGATTCATGGTGCGTGTGTCGGGTCCATAGTTGTAGTGAGAGGAGCTTCAACAGTGCCTGGGACTTGCGACCCAGGTATAGGTTCAAGGGGCCCCTTATCTATCGTGTTAAACGCTCACCTCCAGCGTCCAAGTTCCTCTCTCTACATAAAAATGTAAAACGTATCCGACAATTAGAAAATTTATATGTATTGCACATATTAATCTAATATAAATTAATTGGTTCTCCGAGGAACCGTAAACTCTATAACTGTAATTAAATTATGGACAATATTCCCAGTTCCTTTAATATCAATTTACAGTTTTGATACCAAGAGTATAATTTAAAGACTTTTAGAGCTCAAATATCTCAATTAAGCTATAAATTCCAAATATATATCTCATTCTCATTCTAGGAATCTTAAAAGTTGAAACACTGAAATATTTCATAGGACTGATACCGTTTCAATTGGATAATATTCGGAAAAGTATTAGAAGCAAGTAAAATAATCTGATAACCATACGTTTTTGTTTGATTACTTAAATTTTGGAACCCCATTCGGATTTAGAAAATTTATTTAAATTGGTTTAAGTTCAAAGTATTTTCACTTAACGTACGTCTATAGTCTGTGTAAGTTTTAATTAAACGTCAAGTTTGTTTACAATTTACATAGCCATAAGGTCGTTAGTAAACAGAATTTATCAAAACAAACGCAATTGTGATATAAAACGAAAAATTAAAAGAATATTTAATCATTGTTTGTTATATTATATACAATTTTATTATTAGAAAGACGATGGTGACTTCCTATTATATACTAAAAATGGCTAAACAAAGAAATATGGATGATCCAACAGGTGCTTATTACGAAACATTACAGAATTCGACATTTAAAAATGTATATACTTTAAACTCTGCAACGTGTCGGGTTTGTCTTAGAAAGGGTGTCGTACCAATATACGGAGTTGAAAATAGTATAACTATTGAAGAAGCCATAAAATCATTTGGGAACATTGATATACATAAAGATGATGAATATCCAAAATATTTGTGTAATTGGTGTTTACAATTCTTAAATAAGGCCATTTCATTTAGAAATTTAGCAAGGAAGACAAACGAATTTTTAAGAGATAGAATTAAAAGCGAACCATATCAAAATGACTTTCTTCCTAACCAAATTATTAGACGAACAGAAGTAGATACTAGTGATAGTAAAACAAAAGTACATTCCACAAACCCTGACTTAAAAAGAAACAAAGATATCCAATGCGGTACTTGTAAAAAAATTATACGAAAATCATATTACAAAATACACAAAACAATGCATGATCCTGAACATCACAAATATGTCTGCGATATTTGTGGTAAAACTTTTAGATTGAGAGTAGGATACCACAACCATAGATTACGTCATAGAACAGATTTTCCATACAAATGTAATTTATGTCCTTATAAAGGAAGATATGCTGAGAGGCTCAAAAGTCACATGAGAACGCACAGCGGTGAATACAGATATATGTGTACAGAATGTCCGGCTAGATTTTTGTTCAAAGGAAACTTTAATAGTCATGTTCTACTAAAACATAGAAATCCCGAATATAAATGTAGTTCTTGTGGAAGAGCTTTTCACACACAACTGATTCTACAAAGGCATAACGATGTTGAACATTTGGGGATCAGAAGTAATGTGTGTAATATTTGTGGGAGGGCCTTCGGATATAGAAATGCTATGATGAAACATCAGAGACGAGTCCATAAGAGGGAAAAATTACGATTTTCCTTCAGGCCTTCCGAAGTTTGACACAAATTTACATAATGACGTTATTATAAATTTAAAAATAAAATTATTTTCCTACCATTTATACAATTTTTATTTGATATTAGTTTTAAGTATATTTTGTATACCAGATCTAAAATCTTCTGTAACTAATTTTTTTTATGATTACAAGTTTGGGATAACAATGTTAATTTTTATTTACTCTAATTTATGAAAACCAAAAACTTTTGTCAGACTAAAACAAATCTAACAAAAATAATTATAATTAATTAAATATTGATGTAGAATTGGAGTGACAAAGAATATCAAATAAATATATTCTTAATAATCATTGTACAATTACAAAACAATTCAGATTTAAAGAGCAAAAAAATTATATTATCGATTTGTTAGGAGATTATTTATGAAATATATATAAAAGAAAAAGCAAAGTCAGTGTAAATGACTAGTATATTTGGATAAACATTGAATATCTCAACAACACACACAAACATGTAAATATAGGTACTATCTAACAATATGGTATAATTTTTATATTTTCACAAAATTTGTAAATGTTCTATTCATTTTCTATGGACAATGGAAGATTTATTTGATAAAAAAGCTACTTTTATAAAGGCCACTCACATCACTTGGTTAGTTATAACATTAAAAAGGCTAAAATAAGTTCACTCTCTATAAATAATGTTGTACATTATATGTGGCACAAGTAATTTACTTTAAAAACTTTTACATACCAATATGCCTATTTAAAAATCTGAATAGTGGTTTAAAAAATTACATATCTATTTGGGATTAAACTATAAATACATCTTTGGTATATAAATCACATCTATAAAATTGTCATGACTATATAACTAAGTGACAAATTGTTTAATTCTTATACAACTAAAGATTAAAAGATTATATATGTATGTATAACTTTAAAATATTATATATGGCTCCTATGTATAAGTGCCAATGTGCAAAATATCAATTCTTCAGAAAGGATGTTTTAAGTTTGATTTCAATGTATCTTTGTACAACAACTTTGTGCGATAACTGATGCTTTTGAAACATTGCATATAAACTATGACATACATGTACATCATTTAAGCTTGATAAACAGTTTTGTCACCCTACTAGTTTATTTTTATAATATACATTATATAAGACCTTATACAATAAAAAGTGTGTTACTAATGCTTTTTTTACTTCAATAGACCAAGTCTTCCACTAACAAATATGCATTTTTTGAATGGATGTTGTAGAATGTAGTATTATGAAGTGTTTAAAGCAAAAAAACTGAAAATGGCTAAATTGCTACATTGGCCCTTACACATAGGACCCATTTATATTTCGTTTTTCTTTAATCATATGAAGGTCCTCGACACATTGTGACTATAAAAATGGATGCAAACATGAATTCCAATAGCTGTAACGTTAACATCAGGGTACACCAAATATATTCAATTCTTAAAACGACAACCTGCCATATAAGTAAGTACAAGACTCCCACTATAGAAGGAACTGTAAGTAGCACTGAAAACATTACTGGGATATCTGAAACGATAGAAAAAATGTGTTCTGATATTGTTATTCTGATTTTTATAATAAAATATAATTTTTTTTTAAAGAAATTGATTCTAAAAAATGATAACTTAGAATGACATGTTTATAATGGTATTGCATAAATTGCAGGTCTTTGTAAATGTGAATTCTTATTTGAAATTTAATTTGATAATTACTTAACTATTTCTCTGTTTCTTGAACATTGAAAGTATAATAATGATTATACAAATATATATTATACCTCTTTCGCTAAGACTCCCTTTTCGGCCTAAAAATAGTCTAGCTGCTTCTATTATGAATAGGGCCACCAGCACTCCGTAGTCTTGTCCAAGCCTCGTCCTATTTTTCTCCACATCGTCGTACTTAACACCAATCAATACTGACTTCAAAATTAATGTTCCTAGCTCGCATGTAGCGAAAAGACCGAAGTAGAATGAATTTATATATAACAGTATTTCATACGCTAAACTCGAATTCACCATTTTTAAAATATAATATTAGCGAATCTACAGGTTTTCATGACCGCCGAAGAGATTTTTAAATGAAATCAAGAATGATATAAAAATAGAAAGATTATAGTTAGTACCCACTTTACCCTCAATTCTCCCATATGTTAGGGTAAATATATACATATATCCTATAGTTTTCAGTGACAGCTAACTAGTGTTGCCATATAATAAATACGACTGAAGAATGAATGAAGTATAAATATTTATAGATTGAAGGTGTGGTGAACTTACTGAACGTAAAGTTCATCATTGGTAAGATTGAAGAATGAAGACTTAATGTGGGCTGCATAATGCAGATACGAGTGTGAGCGCACGTATGGCATAGTGCACGCGTGAAATATAACCTTATTACGTATATTGTGAATTGGAAGTTAATAGTGAATTAAGATTCAGTTAGAAATATTATAAAAACGTGATTTGTAAAATATACTTTATTTCGGTAAGTGTTTTACTATCCATTGACCTGTCTGCCGACCACGCGCCTTGTGAAGGCATGTTGAACTTGCAATGTTTGTTTTATTTTTTTTTATTAATTGTATACAAATATTTTTTTTTATTTTGATGTCATTTTTAAATCTTACTACCTTTGACTGGAATCTGTTTTTTAAATTTTACTTTTATGTAAGAAAAATAGTTCAATAGATTAATTTACAGTTAAACATAGTTCAACAACCCGTTATTATTCAAGTTTAGAAAGATAACTCTTGGACATTGTTGTACTTATTCAATGTTATTATTATCTGCAGTATACTGGTTACTTTTGTATTTGGAACACGTTTACTGCATGTGTTTCATTCACTAAATGCTTTTGTAATGACTTTGTTTAACATTATCTCGTATTGTTTGAAATAACAGAACGAAGGTCGGAATGTGACTAACTGCAATCGAAATAAGATACTTCATTTAAAAATAGTGTTATAATTAATAAATTTATTTCTAAAATTATATTCCAGTTTTCATAATTGTGACAATAATAAATTCATTTAATTTTCCTAATAAGTTTCTGTGCGGTATAATTTAAGTATCTGCCATTTATTAATATAAATTAAATGTTGATTAAATTAACTGACAATAATAACAGAAAGAAGATTTTTAAAAATATGAAAAGCTAATAAATAAGTGTAATAACATATTTTTTATAATATTATAGGTCTTACTAGCAAATAACAAAAATAATTTGATTATTTTAAATGAACACTAGTTAATACTAGTAAATTATACTTATTAATATAAATAAATTTCTTCTATCTATCATGTAACACATGCCTAAAATTGTTAGATAAGATAAATTTAATATATTACAAAGTTTGTTTTAATTATCTATATTGTCATAAATCATGTCTTATTTAAAGGATAAATAAGAAGCTTATTACTTACTACAAATAAGATAGCTGTTGAAATTTAGTTGAGTTTAAATAGAGAAATGAGAATTATGAAATAGGAATGTAATGGATCTTATAGAAAATTATATGTACTTTTTAGTTAATTTTAATATTCAATAAAGATTTACCGAATATCTTCTAACACTGGTTGGTTTTTTTGATGTCTACATGTTGAATGCATTTCAACATACCTCAACAGTTATAATTAATGGTCATGAATTTTAATGACGAATATAGCCGATATTTCATTGAATAATAATAGAGTATTCATAGATGTCTCCAAATGGAATTCTATTATAAATAAACTTAATATTCAAATTCATTTGTTTTTATATATATGGTATATGTTCCGTTTCAATTTTGCAAAATAAATGTTATATGATTTCAATGTTATCATTGAAGTAATTTATTGTTAAAAAGATCTATATGAGGATTTTTTTTTCAGAACAAATGTCATTTTTATGATATAAGGAGTTTAGGAGTTAACCACTGATGGAAATGTCGCAACAAGGAGGGGCGGAGGCCGAGAGCCTCCTGCGAGGGGAACGTAGCGCTGTAGTCATGCCGGGAAGACGTAAGTTATAAATCTTTAATTTTACTTAATAAACAAAAAAAATATAGCATAAATTGGGAACGTTAGTCACGATTTTAGAACGTTTCCATAACAAAATGGCGCCAAAAATATTGATACTTTTGACAATGACCGACACGAAAAAATAATTTAAAATAAATAAAAAAAATACCAAAAATTTGAAACTTAAGTCTCTATTTTAGAGCGTTTTATAACAAAATGGCGCCAAAAATTTTGATACTTTTGACAATGATAGACCAAAAAGAAAATTTTGTTTACGTTTTTAATATTCATATAGCAATAAGTATAAGGTGACATACGTGTTATATCAAAACACACCTTCGTAATTTGTTTAAAGGTTTTGATGTAAAATATTTGACATTTATTGAATGACATAATGTATTGTGTGGGAAATGACTCATTGAAACACGTTTTAGAAATTTATTGACTTATTGATTTTTAAGGAAATACGAGTCTTTAAAGTCTTTAAACTTGTGTGTCCTCTTTTTAATAAAACGCGGAGGCCGAAACTATTTTAATTCGTTCGGAAACAAATTTATTGTTATTAGCGGTTGATACCATTTACACATCTGTTGCCAACCGACCATTTTCTTCCGTAGTCCTAATTTAAAATACATTTAGAATTACAATAAGAAAAAAACAGCTTGATATCTCGATGGTATATAAAAAATTGTTATCATATTACAAAAATAGATCGCTTATCTAAATGGCGATTATGTTAATTGTAACTTTTACGCTATTATATCCAAAGGTATGTTTTCATTCATATTTTGAATGTTTTTTATGACTTTTACGAATAAAAACGCATTTTTGTCTTTGTTCCATTCTCTACAATTTCCGATTTTCAAGTAATTAATTTATAAGAGTACATTGAGTTAAATAGAGTACCTTGACATACAGTACAAAGAGTACTCTGGAATATAAATTCATTTACAACCCTGGAACTCGCTTAAAAGCGTTTACGCAACATACTTAAGTAAGACTTATGTATAAATGAACCGCGTCATTTTAAAATATAAAATGTATTTAATGATTAGAATCCCGGTCATGGCAATATGTTGTAATATTGTTAAGTTTGACAACAATTTTAACTTTGCTATACAGGTTTAATACAAAGTATATACATATAAATAATGGGCGTATTATAATAATGTGCTTACATTAGGTGTTGCATTTAACCAGTTATCGTGTTGAAGTATAGTGTTACAGCGATATATATGGAGCTATATGCTCTGCATACGACTTTGAATCACTACACTATACTTATTTACAAGTTTATCATTCATAAATTTTACATACATTATTTGTTTATATGAATGAAAACGTAGGAACTGTTAGTATATCGTTTTACAGCGCAAACTTGTAGTAGGGCGTAATTTATTATGTTTTATTTAATATAAAATCATACATACATTTAATCTGTATTATTTTTTAAAGTAAAATTACATAGAGGACTAATATTTAATTAGTTGTTACAAAAATCTTCTGTAATTGAGTTTTTATTGAGAGTGTATTTGTAATTATGATTATTAATAGAAATTGGTTAATTTGTTTTTCCTCTTAATTAATATATCAAAAATGTCATTTAGAAAAAAGGAAATTGTATAAAACAATGATATTAATACAATAATATAACGAAATCAACATCCTCTGCTTCTAGTGAAGCCCTTGTCGTATTCTGACATTGATAGATGATGCTGAACATCATTCTTAAATCCGGCGAAGTGTGAACGGAGTCAAAAATGCATGGTTCCGTACCATTATTGATAAAAAATTATATGTTTGTTACATTTGAGCTCTTCTAGGTATTTATTTGATATATATTTTTATATTTGGTGTTATAGCGTTAAAAGAAATACATCTTATGTGAATATTTTCACTTACTTCATGAGATCCAAGTCTGGTGATAGACGTACGGAAGGTTAGAAGAGGAATTGTAGTAATAGTCTCGTTTTTACCTTTCCTTTACGGAACTCTAACAACCACGTACATTACCTTGTTATAAACAAGATACATGGCTATGTAGTGTTGATATATTCAGGGAGCAATTTATAAAAGCTACAATATCTATACTAATATTATAAAGCTGAAGAGTTTGTTTGTTTGTTTGAAAGCGCTAATCTCCGAAACTACTGGTTTGAATTGAATAATTCTTTTTGTGTTGGATAGTCCAGTTATCGAGGAAGGCTGTGAGCTATATAACATCACGCTAAGACCAATAGGAGCAAAGATATAGTGGTAAATGTGTAAAAACGGGAGAAATTATTTCATCTTTGAAGCCTTCCGTTGCGTGCGCCGTGAAAACGGTTCAAGATAAACAAAAAATATGTATTAAAGAATAATAGCTCTTTTAATGATCTAAAAAACAGTCCGCGATAGTATATGTCTATCTTTTAAGATTAACTCACAAAAACCGTTTTTATGGATATTTTGTCGAAATTTTTCGAATTAATTTGTCGAAAATTTGTCGAAATAATTTGTTTAAGTTGTATCAAAATAATAATATTAATCTTTATTCATATAAACAAATAAATATGTTGTTGGTTAAGAGTACTTCATTATTAATAAAAAAAACATAGGTTCCATCCTGAAAATTCTACGGGAACTCGACCATTCCGAAAACCCCGCAAGAACGGGAACTATGTGGGAAGAACCAAAAATCTGTCGGAAGTAACTATTCCACGCGGACGAAGCCGCGGCAAAAGCTAGTATATAATAAAGTAGTGTTAGTTACACTATTTATAAGTCCCGAATATGTGCACGGATTTGTTTGAAAAATATTGGAGAAGTAGCTTAGAAACAGGAGACATTGGAGTTATTACTTACTTTTAATGACGTTCGACCAAAAAAGAGCAAAAAAATCACTTAATAAAACACAGATTCTGATTATTTACTGTCTCTTAACAGGAAAAAAATTCGCCGGGTCCGCTATACAGTTCTAATTCTGAAAATAACACAGACGAGGTCACGGGAAAAGCCTAGTGCATTAAAACATCCTATCAATTTAATTATTATAAATTTAACTTTAATAAGAATAAAATGCATTTTTCCTTTAAAATAAATTTATCAATATTAAATGAATTAATACTAATTAGTACTAATAATAATTGCTATTAATGTTCTATCAAATTTCTTATATGATATAGTTTTTCGATAGTCACAAGTTTATCAATTTTCTTCACTTCCTTCAAAATTATTTCAATAATATCTCAAATAGATTATATTTGATAAACAATTTCGGAAACGAATTTTTTATTTCTTTTTAATTCATATAAAAGCGGTATCTTGACATACATTTCATCGCGTATGAATTACATATATGTAGAGACACCCTTAAAATATATAGTACTTTTTATCTTCTTCTACCTGCCAATTTCCCGGATTTAGCCAGGGTCTGTTTTACATGTTGTGAATAGTATTGGCTAATTGTTTTTATGACCGGCCGCCTGCCTGACATCAACCCTCTTTGGGAATGCATTAATCAGTGATGTCTAAATACTCTCAGAAAGTACATATGACTCGGAAAAATCACTTTGGTACTTACCAGGATCGAACCAGCGCCCTCATGCATGAGAGGCGGCCCTTTTAACCACTAGGGAACCACTGACTACGGTACTTTTTATATGAGCCTAGTAACAAAATAAAACGAATTTCTTATCTATATGGAGACGATATTTTTTATTTATGTTCGGTCATAAATGTATTGATAAGATTGATTCTAAGTATTGGATGTTTTAAGATAAATTTAAAAATATTCTTAAAGATGCATTAAATTAAGAAAGCTGAATATTTGATATATTCTTCAAGTAGGGGAGCGGGGGGCACGTTGTTACAATTTTTAGATAATTATTAATATCACAAAAGCTATCAAAAAATGTATACATTTGATTGCTTTAACCATTAGTGTCTCTATTAAGCTAGTAGAATACAATTGGAAAAATATTAAAATTTACGTAATTTTTCCCAAAATAGAGAATTAATGAAATAAGTCGATTGCAACAACTTACCCCTGACTTGGGGCTAGTTGTTACAGCTTCGGGGCACGATGTTACAGTAGGTAAATAAACAAAATGAACAATAATAAATCATTTATTTTTTATTATTTCAAAACATTATGAATAAAAAAAACTATTTTGATCAGTCTTATAACATTTATGAGCAATTATAATATCTATATCGTAATTTTCCAACTTTTTAACAGTAATAATCACATAACTTTGGCAGGAACTTTCTTAAATCTTATATATCGTTTATTTTAGTTATTTTGGTTTATCGGTTAATACAGCGGACTTACGGTTACGACCGTTATGGATGGATTGTTGTCGAGCCTCTGCCTTGGGAAAGAACCTTATCTTTGAAGGCGAAAAATTTTCAACATTTTGTTAAACATTCTATATCTTGCGAACAAGCTGGATTTGGAGAAGGTGAAACAGTAATATTGTTAATAGTGTCAGGTAATAGATTGGTTGCTGTTTCTATTGCCTGTATGATGTCATTTGTATGATTTCATTTTTTCACTTTCCATTTATTCTAAATTTTAAGTACAGCGTAGTAATTTCTAAATGATAGTCAATGAGATGAACGGTAATACAAGATCTGAGGCAAGTTGTAACATGTAACAACCTACCCCGAAAAACTGTAACAACCTGCCCCATGGTGTGTTTTTTAATTAAAATTAAAGCCACCATTAATGGATATCAATAGCAGAATAAAACGCTATTACAAATTAAAACTCGATACATTATGAACGTTCGAGGCGAAAAGAATTTAGAGAATAACAAATATAGACAGCAGGAATCAAAAATTTCGTAAAAGATTTTGTTACGTACTTGATGGAAATCGAGACACGTGCACAAAACCTAACAGTTAGCCGCTTGGCGGGTCCCTGATTGTTTTTTTGCAACGCACGATGTTATAAGAAAACAAATGAGTCCACTTACGTCTACTAAAGAGTTAAAAATCCCGGTAAAAAATGCGTGTAA